TTGACAGCAAGGTAAAGGCTGCTATCCACGACAGTTCAAAAGACAAGGCAAAGCTGGCTAAGTGGGTCAATAGCACAATAAACTGCGACAATCATAACTGTATTCGCCTTTTCGCCTTGGCCAAGTGATTGTAGACCGCCCGACGACGACAACATTCCAACTGTCGGGTGACCTGACCAGTGGCTCCAAAAGATTTCGTCAATGATATTGCACATCATTATCCACTCAGGGTCTCTTTGCATAGCTCAACATGCCAGCCATTTCTCTGACTGTGGAGGAGTGTTGCGTTGTTGTCTTGCGTAGCTAAACCTGCCCGCCGGGTCCCGCGCAGGAATACAGCATGGCATGTACACACTACATGCCAGTCAGCTCACTCGCTACCTACTCGCGTGCACGACATCGACCGCCAACCTCTCTCCACCACATCATTCCAGCTGGTCGGCGTCCTCGCCAGGACGAGAGAGGAAGGTGGTTAAAGGAAGATGCCGCCGGGACACCTCCGGAAACCAATCAACCACGCCTTTCGGGGTCCATCGCCTACTAATATTTCATCACCATGGCTGGGCTTGCTGGACGGGTGGGCAGAGCAGCAACTTGCGGTGAACCGGATCATGCTGCTTTGTGGAACTGTCGACGGCGGGGATGAGATGGGATGGGATGTGATGAATGGTCGCGATGGAGGTGGGATGCCATCCGACCTCCTCACCATTCCTCCCTCTCCTCGCTCGGGCGCGGGTAGCGGGCGAGAAACGTACGACTCTGAGACTTTCGACCGGTCACACGTCTTGCCTACATGCAAGTATACTTTCGTTATCACTGTGTGCTGACACCAAAGTCAGTTCTTTCGTATTCCGCGGTCGTGAGGATGGTGATGATACCTGGGCGGTGATGGTGGAGGATGTCGGGAGGAAGCTTACTGCTCCCTCGTCAGCAGTATGGCCCGCTCGCAGCGGCCGTACTCTCGCTGGCATGGCCAGAGGCACTGAACCAAGCAGCCTGCTGGCATGACCCTTCCCCGCCTCTTTTCGGGGTGCCCTTCACACCAGATAGACCTTACATCCCACCGTTCCCTTGCCCAGCCCATCCAACCCGTCGTCCCCCAACGAGCCAGCCAGTAGCACACCAGGGTCACAGTACATGAAGCATCTTTCCTTTCTCACTGACTCTCCCCGTCCAACCAACGATAACACCAACTGCCGTGTGACTGTTGTGTCGTCTTCGTCTTAGCCTGCCCCCCCCACTCCCCTTCCGTAGACACCCTACCCACGCACAGCAGCAGGAATATGCAGCCCTTCGTGCTCGGCAAGAGTCAGTCCACCATCACCAGCCCCGACCCCCCTTTTTAGGCTGTGTCTGCTGTGCCTGGTACCCTTCCGTTATGCCAGTTACTCCCAAGCTTGCATACCATAGCCCCCCCTCCCCATCTCACACACCCCAGCAAGGAGGACCATAATAACCTCAACGGCCTAATAACGGTTATTGTCTTGGATCTAATGTAGAGTGGGTGTGGGTTGACAAATTAGTTCTGAGTTGAGCGAGCTCCAAATGTGAACCCCTACAGCATCATACATCCCCTGACTCGGATCGAGGGGGGATTGGGGGGATGTAGTTTATTTTAAGTTTAGCTACTCCTGCTGCATCGTGTATATATACACGCCCCCCCCCCTCACCCCCCCCTTTTTTTTTTTTAAGGTGGTTTTGCCGGAATCTGGGAAAGGGGGGAAAGGGGAACTGGGAACTGGGAGGTGAAAAACTGGGAAACAGCAACTGGGGCCAATGAACAAAGACTTGGACTTGGAAAAGGGTCGTATCCACACCATCGTCATCATAATTATCGTCAGTGATTATGCCCCAACCCTCAAGCAACCAAGATAGTAAAGGTAGGTAATGTGTTGAAGTGGGGAGGAAGATCACCAAATTCAGGAGCAAAGAATGAGTAAGACCAAGCCTCTATCCCTCATGTGAGGCTTAGCTCTAGGATTTAGTTTGAGACATCGAGGCATATCACGACATCCAGAAGGAAACAAGGCAGGGCTGGCGTGGTGGCGAAGAGGATGATTGCGCGGTGATGATGTGTGTGTTGTGTGACAAGGACGAACCCGGAGTTTTCTTTGCCTGCTCGAAGGTGTGTCTACCTGCCTTTCCTGGATTTGGGGTGTATCTTTTGGGAATGAAAATCTTGCGCAGGGCTTGAATGGGGTGGGTTAGTGTGGGATGGTGTCTGCACAGCTTACTGCGTCTTGTCTGAGGTGGGAAAATGGTGATGGTGAAGGTTGGTTACCTATGGGGGCAGTAAAAGATTAGGTAACATCTTTTTGGATACCAGCTTCTATTTGCAGAGGACCGCAACTACCAAACACCTTGATACCCGGGAATAGAGCAGGTATCTGTCGGCAGTATCTGTATTGGAAGCAGAGCATGAAAGGTGAACAGGCGGTGTTGATTTGAGATTACCTCACTAAACTTCCATCTACCAGTAAAGACCGGACCTATTGGGTGTGACCCTCTTGTAGCAACGACTGGGCAAACATCCAATCGACAATACCTTTTTTTGTTGGTCTAGACCTGCTTATACTGAGTCCCCTTTGACTGACTCTTTTTGCCTGACCTCTTCTGGTTGGAACCAGTCTAGATTGATCCTTATTGATTGATAGCTTACTTCAGTTGAACGGGCCCCTTCTTAGCAGACCTCTTTTTGGGAGGACCCCTTTTCACACGACCCCTTTTGGCGGGACCTCTTTGGACTGACCTCTTTGTGGGAAACCAGCTTTAACAGAACCCCTTTGCGATTTTCATCCACGCCTAATAAAGAAAATGACATAATGACCTCTCCTCACTCCATGATGGCTCTTGCCTCCTGTTACAGTGGCTTCTGCCTTCTTGTCACGACAGCTCTTGCCTTCTGTCTCAATAGTCCTTTCCCCAAGTGCCCAGATAGACTTCGAACTGGTAGGAGCAATCATTTCTGCCCCAGTTGCCTGGTCACTGACAGATGCCCACCTCACAGTATCGCATCCCGCCAGCGATTCTCTTCACATACAGTATCTTTCTGATGTATCATGTAAAGAGAGAGCAGAGTGAAGAGTAACTCAAATAACTCCACCCCTCCCAGATACTCAACACCAGGTATTGCTATGTTAGGTCAACGATAGAGGAGAGTAAAAGTACCCGAGAGGTAATATGAGCTGCAAAGAAGAATCTCTCCCCACTTGAATCTGCTTTTCTAGGATAATGGAAACTGAGTTCACGCGTATCATGATGTCTATTTGCTCTCGGGAAGAGAGGCGGTAAACCTCTTCTCTTTAACAGATTTACACAAGTGTCCATCAGCACATTCACAAATTACCACATTCACACATTACCACTTTAACCCACCATCCTGGATAGAGCTACCCAAGATACAATTATCGCTCCATGTTTAAATCAAGACATCAGGTTCTGTGTGAGCATGATGGGAGAATCCCAGCATCTTCCACCAAGTTCAACCTCCCCCAATGGCAACTCCACAACTCGGCAAACAAAGTCAGCTATCTCTCGATAAAAGCCTACCTAGCTATTGCCTTCAAAGACTGTATTGAAATATTTCACCCATCCTCAACACCTTGTTGAACTGCAGTTTGCCCCATCACAATTACTTGATTAAAGACCAGCACTAGAAACTGAACCAACTGAGCAAGACAACAGAGCAAAGCTCTTGGAGCAGCTAACAATGCATACATCAAACCCCTTCCCCAATATATCTCTCACAACTGCCAGCTACCTTACCCAACACATCAAGGGAACCCCTAAACATCATCACTCAAAAAAGCCAACCCCACCCCACATTCATTACCAAAATGAGAGTGGAATTGCCCAATAACAGGATTGAACTGTTGACCTTCGCATTGACTTGATATTGACTCTGAGAGAGCAATATTAGTACGACGCTCTAACCAGCTGAGCTAATCGGGCTTTGTGGGTGTTGTTGATGTGGAGTTTGGTGAGTGATTTTGTGTTTCATGACTCGGTCAGTGACCAACCTTCTTTCAGGGCTGAAAAAACATTTTTGTGATACATTTCAATGAAAAGAACAAGCTGTCCAGAATTGCCTAGCACTTGAGTCATGGCACAAGGTGGAAACGATGGAACCGATGCTGTGTAGGTCGGTTGAGGTGGTGACGTGCGCGACAAAGACTTGACCAAATGGTAGACATCGGCGAGATCCCGAGTAAATGCTGAAATGCACACACAAGACCACAAGCACTGATCAAAGGCATCAAGCAGGTAAGATACACCATCTTCTATTCTCTCCTACTCCTCCCAGAGCTAACCCCTTTCACCTCCACACACCCCAAAAAGCTATCTACAAAGCCCCAAATAATATAATAACACATAAGTTCTCCCCCCCCCTTTCCCCTCAAAATTTATCCTGTCCCTCCTATCTCTCTCCCACTTCCCCTTTTCATCTCGCTCCTTTTTCTGGCGTCGGGAAAATGGTACAGAGAGGGTAGGGTATGTGGGTAGTATAGTTACAAGGTTAAACATTAAGAATCGAAAGAAAAAAAGCCGTTGTTAACCTTCATCCACCCTCCCCATCGACAAACAGCTATCGTCAAGACATTTGCTTCGTCAAGAGAACGGACGTAAAGTACTGTAAGATGTAAAGAATCGAAAGTCAAAAAGAAATCTGGACGTAAACGCCAAATGATGGGTAAGAAACGAAATAAAAGCCCACTTTGCTTTGCCCCCCTCCTACCATTATCTTCCCCCTTCTCCTCCTTCCCATGATGGTGTACCCCCTCTCATAGACGGCCTTGGTATGATGTGATGCTCATCAATACGAAAATTCCAAACGCCAAATGCTGAATCCCCGTCTTTAAAACAAAAAGAAAATAAAAAAGAAACCAGTGGTATCAGGACCCTTTGCATTGCACCCCCTTTTTTGTAAACGCTGTAACGCCATCAAACCCAAACCCAGATATGCGCGGCATGAAACTCTCTTCTCTCTTTTTAAACCTTCTCTAAACCTGAGGAGCCCCTGACCGGCCCTTGCTCAAGTTCTCCAACAGCTCATGAGGCGGTATCCTTTGAATGCCGCTCCCACGGTCATACATGGATGTTGGAGCAGGAACATACCCCTCGCGCTTCTTGCGTAGCCTATCAAGAAGCAAGCCAGCCACAACAATTAACAGCATCAACGCCAGGGAGATGCCCAAGCCGATGAGCACGACAAAGACAAGCGGCAGTGGTGAACCGCCCTTGTCAAAGAAGTTGCTGTGCTCAGTGAAGATGCGGGAAATGGTACCAGCAATGTTGCCGCGGTTGCTGGTGAGGGCATATGGCCGGAAATCTTGACCGTCGAAAAGGACGGCGGATGCTGTGCCGAAGCCGGGAAGGACGATAGAACCAGTAAGCATCAGAGCCTCGCTGGAATCGATCAGGTCAGTGTTGTCGTGAGAAGAGGTGAGAGAAAATATTTGGAGACCACGGATATCTGTGCCAGCCTCGAGAGACTCGTCGGCGAAGCGCCAGGTGGTGCCATCCGACTTGGCCAGGTAGACTGTGCCATTGGTATTGATGCCAGTAGCCCAGATGTGAGTGCCCTCATTGTTGCCCTTGGTGAGGGCCGAGACTGGGCCAGGAAGGTTGCTGGCGCCGGGATAGTTGTCCCAGGTTTGGGTTTCGGTGTTGTAGGTGGCAAGGAAAGTCGAGACGGTGTTGTTGACTGTGAGGTTGCCGCCAGCAAGCAAGATGTTGTCGGAAATCCACATCAGCGAGTGAACAGCACCGGCCATGTTCTGTCCAGGCTGAATCCACTGAGACGAAGCGGTGCTATAGAAGCAGACACCGTTGCAGCCCAAAGAGCCAGCCGATCTGAAGGATCCTCCGACGTACACATCGCCAGTGGTACCACGCACGGCAATAGCAGAAACTGTGCCATTATCGCCAGACAAGGCTTGGGGTTGGGTGTTGAAGGACTTGCTGGCGAGGTTGTAGGTGACAAGCCCGCTGACATTGACACCGTTCACGTTGCCCCTCACTTTGCCACCAGCAAATAGAGTATCTCCGTGCACAGCCAAGGCGACAAATGTCGAGTTCTGGGCGATTTCTTGCCCGAAGCCAGAGACCTTATCACCATCAGCGCCATCAATAATGGCGAGATTGTGGATTTCGGAACCGTCGCTATCTGTAGCAGTAAAGTGCCCGCCCAGAATGGTGAGGTTTCTGCTGTTGCTAGAGTCGAAAACGCCAGTGACGATGCCCGACAGACCCTTATCCGCCAGGGCATCATCTCGCTTCGACAGAGCACTGGTGCTGGAGGCAGTTGGAGTAGGGCGGATCTTGACAGGGAAGCGGCTGAGATCCTCGCCCAGGATCGCGGCTCCCGAGGCGCCAAGAGCCCTGGAGACAAGCGAGCCGGCATAGAGGGAGGTTTCGCTGTCAACGTTGAGAATCGAGGCTGACAACATTCCTTCAATCAACTCAACCGGCAGGTCCAAGTTCTGCAACCAATTCCCTTGAGAGGGAACCCAGATGCCAAACCCCTCCACCTCAACAGCCGGACTGTTGCCAAAAGCCCGCAGCTGATCGAAATCTCCATTGACGGCAACCACAAGTTCAGGTGTCGAGCTGGTGATGTTCATGGTCATACCAACCACGTGCTGGACAATTCCGTTGACGCCAGCGCCCAGGGGACGCCAGGTGCGGCTCGAGGTATCGTAAACCGCAACATTGCTTAGCCCAGCTGAGGAGCCGCTGACAGTGCCGTTAAAACCGCCACCCACAAAGAGGTTGGTCCCGTTAAGAAACAACGACTCGACCTCGCCATTCAGAGTGCCACCGAGCTGTCTGGGGTTGGCGTCGTTGCCCTGCAGTGCAACGATGTTTCGAACATTGCCGGCGCTAAAGTTGCCAGCAATATAGGTGGTGTCACCTGACGTCGCAAGAGCGTTAACGACGGAGCCGGTCCTGAAACTAGCTCCCAAGCGGTTGAAAGCAGAGCTCATGAAATCGCTCGCATTGACTGCTCTGCCAGGCGTGTACTCGTACAGCCCATTCAGACCACCTGTGCTATTAATCAAGGTGAAGCTAATGCGCTGTGCGACAAACGTCATCTCGTCCAAGGACTGTCCGGCAAGAGGGGTCATGGTGACACGGGGGCGGAAGCTACCTGAGCTAGCATCGACGGCGCCGAAGTAAATCTGGTCGTACTTGTCATAGTTGTTGGTCTGGTAGAGATCCAGGTCGATTGGCTCACTCTTGGTGCGATCAGCTGTCATCTGTCCGGTAAGCTTGACACGGCCACGGGTAGAGCACGTGTTGTCCTGCAAACAACCAGGGGTGTAAAGGTTGAGCGAGTAGTGGCCGGATTCCCGAATATCCGGAGTGAACACCACAGACGCCGAAGTATTAGTAATAGGTCCAGAAAGGCGGGCAGTAAGATATTCAGAGGTGCTTTGTTGAGAAGGCGTAGCTGTCCAAGGTCCAGTGATAGTCGCTTCCGATGGGAATTCGCCGCCTGCGCATGCTGGCTCGTTGAAATCGTTGATGGCATACGAGTAGATATCGTCCGCGAACAGTTCAATCCCGTTCAAACCCCCACCACTGCCGTAGAACCTCGAAATGTCGATGCGGAACTCGTTCATGCCAATGACGTTGACAAAGTGGAAATCTTGAAATTTGAGATCCGGGTGGTTGCTGAGTGGGCATTCGCTCGTGCAGCTCTTATTTGTCTGGGTGGCTGGGTCGATATAGGTGAAGTTCATAATCCCGTTGATGGGCAGAGCCGTGAACCGCCATGTCTGTGTTCCCCTGCCATCCTGGCGAGTGTTGTAAAGGCGTAATTTGGTGGGCTGGAATCCGAATCCGAACTTGGCGGACCAGAAGCCCGGGGTGCCGTCCTGGAGCAACCAGGTGCTTCCTGCGCCGTCAGCTCCGCCAGTCTTGCAAATGATATTTCTCGGATCACTGAAACCCTGGGTAGAAGTCGAAGAACCGCTGCTAATGCTTGCTGTCGACAGGTTGATGACTTGGCCATCTGGCGTGCTTGGAGCACTCGCATTTCCCAGACCCGTGAAACTGCCGCCGAAGATGATGTTCCCGTTGGACGCCTTGCTTATCGACGCTACCGGTCCATTAAACCCCGCAAATGGGAGATTCGTCCATGTTTGTGATTCTCCTTGCCAAGCAATCGCATTGGTTGAGTTCGCACCCACAAAGCTTCCACCGACATACACAATATTTGCTTGCTGATCGCACAGCACTGCATTGACCTGGCCAGAGAGCCCCGGTAAGGGCGTAATCTCGGCTGTCGCTGGGTCGAAAAGTGCCATGCCAGGCGACTGCTGAACCTCGGAGTCAACCGCTCCAATGCTCGTGAAATTCCCGCCAACCATCACAACAGTACGTCCGCCGACCTCGAAGGCGCACATTGTTCGGATCGTCGCGTCGGTGTTGGCGACTGGGGCGAAGGCGCCGTTGGGCATCCTCGCGAGGAGCTGTTCGCTGCCATTGGTGCTGTATGGCCTCTCATTCTGCCCCTCGAATTCGTAGAGCGAAATCCCCGAGAAGTCACCGGCCAGAGCTACTCGGCCGAGTTTGGAGAAGTCGAGGTTTGCCGCAGGAGCTGGGGTGAATGTGATGGCGCTCGACAATGACGACAAGGCGAGAAGTAAAAAGGCCGAAGTCGTGGTCATTCGTCGTGGCGCGGCATGGTGCCGCCGTGATGGTAACCGCATCTCGTATCGATTTGGTGATTTGAGTATTAATTAAGGAAGAAAAGTAAGAATGTGCTTGGAGACCGGCGAGCAGGCGATGTGCTCGAGGTCAATCGGTGGGCAGTCCAAGCTGTCAAGGATGAGGGGCCATATCAAGGTGCTGTTGCGGGTATATGGGTCGATCGGTGACGTTGTGAAATCGGGTGCGCGTCGAAATTAAATGAGGTTGTCGCACGAGGGCCCGGCCGAGAGCGCGAGAGGAATTGTGGAGGTTGAAATTGGCGGCAAACGGAGTCGTCGCAGAATAAGTCAAAGGTAACTTGCGGGAATGAGCGTGACAAAGGGCGGAAACTAGAGAATTAAAAAGGCCACGGGGTAAGCCAAATTGACGACGTCAAAAGTCGCGACGAAAGGATGTGAGTGGGAGCTTGGGGTGGGAGGTGTTGGGGCGCCAGCCTGTTTTCTGAACCAAACTTGGTCCCCGCCTACCGTTGCCAACGAGGTTGCGTTGCTTTGCTTCGGGTGGAGGATTCAAATTTCGCTGTACCTGAGCTGCTGCGCTACTACTGGCCAGCGCAATCCCGCTAGACCCCAACAGGCAAGGTCCAGGTACCCAAGAGGTTCCAGAAAAGATAAGTGCAGCTTGTGAGTGGATGAGATCGCAAGTGATCAAGCAGCCTGCTTGTTCTCACAAGAGATAACATTCACAGCTTGAGATGTCTCCAGAGACTTGTCCGCCTCTTTTCCCCAGCGAAAAACAAGCTCAGGCTGGCCAGCCCCGTGGATATCCGGAGGTCGCTCTTGAGAAACCGGACCCGCACGGCTCGATATTGCTCCTGCAGGGTCACTGAGGGTCAAGGTGAAGGTCCCGGGTAGAGAGAGGTCTGAACGCTGCACTGATGCAAAAACGCTAGGTACCTCGCCTTCCGTGTTTTGAGGGTCTTGGAGGTGTGCTTGAAGATGGTGATGGCGGGGAAATGCAAAAACTGAACAGATGCACGAACCTTCGGATTTTCTAGCAACGCAACACTCAGAGTTTTGCTAGGACTTTGCTGATCGCTTTCCGACTCGATGATTTGGATTTCGGACCGTCCAAAGAAAGGGTGGGGGGGACTGCCACAGTGGATAGCAGATGTCAGATGTCAGTCCGTCCGCCCAACAACAAAAGTACGCGTTGGCGAAAAAGAAGCCTCCGAGTCATACACTCTTTTGCCTTTGAGAAGGGACGTGTTGCTATTCAGAGATGATTGTCGGAGGTGGACCGTGGGTTGGGTGGTTTCAACGCCTCCAAATAGAGCGTAGCAGTCGTCGATTATCGGTAACTGCGGATCGCGATTGAGTGTGACGACAATTTGGCCAGGTATAAACGAACGGTAGGGCCGTGGGTTGCAAAGTCCTGGGTTGCGAGTGCTCTTGTCAGAGACTTGTGTCTTGTGGTGGTGATCAGGGGTTGCACCCTTACTGTGTGAGGTTTCGATTGGGGCAGAATGAGCGGCAACGCAAACACAGAGCGCAGAAAAAACACGTCGAAAGAATGTGAGGTGAGGAGTCGCTTGAGCAGTTGAAGTTTCGGGTGCCGACCGGCTGCATGTAACAAGAAAAGAACGAATGGAAGCCGGAAGTTTGCCGCAGAGAAAAAGAGTGTCGCTGTCGTCCTCACTAGGTGTCCCCCCGATTTGTTTTGTTTGTTCAACCCCTCTACGTCCTGGGAGACAAAAGGAAGATTTTCACATTCCAACGGGATGGGTGAGGGGAAACCGCTGCTTGTCCTCTGCCGTCGACTGGAGCCATTCCACGCTGCCGGACTCAGGGGGTTCCCGGGGTTCGTTCGATGCTCCCACATGGCACCGTTGATCTCATTGGCCGACATGCATCAAGATGCGGCTTGGCAGGGGTTGGTTGACTCAACCACTTCTTTGTCCCTCAGCTACAACTGAGCATCATCGCGATGTGGTTTTGGAGTCTTTTTTGATGGCCTTTGTTCGAAATGGCATGAGTTGGTATTGATTTGCATCTTGAAAGATCCACTGTGCTGCAGAGCTCGATGTCATCTCATCTGGAAAGCTTCACCTCAACTCTTGCGCACACGCCGGCAGCTAGTGCGCGACTTGTGTTTCCGAAAGCTTCTGGGTTGTTTCGGCGGTGAGCTCAACCGCCGCAACCCAGCAGCTGTCGTAGACCACCGGAGTGGTTCTGCCGTCAACCTGGTAGTCGAAAGCGGGAAGTGTTTCTATACCTCAGAAATATAAGCATACCATTATTACTATACCCCTCTATCAGATCTGTACTCTGTCGTCCGGAACCACTCATCATCGCCTTGACAGATCTCCGGTGCTGATCACACGTGCGTTGCCTGTCAAGCACGATCTGATACCCGGGATGCGGACGCGCATTGGGAGGCTTATGCAAAACAATGTCAAGCTCTGGTCCTGTCGATTCGTTTCTACTACAACCACAAACCTACCATTTGTGGGCGGGGAGCATCAGTGCTATAAACAGCACTAAAACAAACATTACCAGTTGTCATGAGATTCTGGCCATAAAACCATGGATGGCATAGTATAGCCCGGCATAAGACAACCTCTTGACTACATGTCCAGCTTTGCTCTTCGTTGTGGTCGAGGTAGCAACCGTTTCTTCGCGAGAATCAAACAACCACAATCCACTCTGATGAGTGACGGCAAGAGGTTCACGGGGATCGCTGTGCGGAACAGCTCTGTTCGAAACAGAACCAACATATCTTCGTTATGGGTATCAAAACGTTCCATCATGCCTTCCGCTATATTCACGAATCCAACTTGCGTTGCGGCTCCTCCGCTAGCTTCACTCGCCTCTTGTATGCCATCGGGCTCTCAATCGCCCGGGCTTTTTTGCTCGGATGGAAAAACCCGCCTCCCTTCTCAAGGGACCACATCCCCTTCCCTTTCTGTCTTGCCACCTCCTCGGCAACTTTGTATTCGATCTCCTTGGACGGCCCGCCAAACTCAGCGCCCGTCTTGGCCTCGTACGTAGTTGCGAATCCCTGCTTGAGCAGCTCCATCGAGACGTCTTTTCGTTGAAAGAATGGCGGCCGTCGGACATAAACGGTGGCCACGATTCTGTCATATTGGTCGCGTCTCCAAACATAGGCGCGGACTCGGCGGTTGAGGATGTGGCTGTCCAGAAACTTTTGTGCTTCGGCAGCAAAGGGCTGAGCGGTTCGGCCAAAGTGACCGCCTTCGGGGGCGTCGACGCCGGCGATGCGGATGGGGATCTGTGACGCACAGAATGAGCCAAATATTCAGACCCCGTTCTGAAAGGAAGTAAGTACCGTCTGCCCCTTCAATTCCTTCTTCAGCTTCGGCACCGTCCTCAGCCAGCCCCAGCCAGCCAAACGCCCACCTGGTGTATGATACAAGTGGAACCCATCACCGTCCCCAACACTAGTTACCTTGCCAAACAAGCTCCGTCGGTGAAAGTATCGCGGGGAAACATGGGCGCTGTTGGGGATGCGCCGGAGGTAGGTCTTGTAGAAGCTCCAAAATCCCATAGTCGCGCCAGCGGCGATGATAGGTGCGATCCAGTTGCCGCCTTCGCTGAGGTGATCGCGTATAGGTTTGGTCCACGAGGATAGTTTTGATTTAATGTCGTCTTTGTCGCCTGACGGCGCCGAAGAGGACCCTGGACTCCATGGCATGGTCAGTCCGGTCGAATTGGTGATCTTCCCCGCGTTATAACAGTGGTGGCGGGTTGGAGGTTGCAGCGGACTCGGGGTTGATGGAGCTTAAGCTGGGTGCCGAGCTTTGTCAGGTGGAGCGGCAGATCAGCGCCGGTTTGGCGGGATGTGCACGGGCCACATTATTTACTGTTTTCCTGTTTGGAATTTGGCGATAGCTTCACTTCTTAAAAGATTATTTCATTAGACATTGAAAATGTCGATATATTGCCAACCTTCCCCTGTCCATGGGCTTGAGCCAAATTTTCCCTTGTACGCCGTAAATCCAAAAAGTTACCATAGGAAATATAGGAATCCAGGTTTCTCGAGCACGAAAACCCGCTCCACCGAACGCCAGCAATGCAAAACCGCTTCGCGCACACCATGATCAATGTTGCGCCACCTCCCAAAGCCTTATTCTCTTCTTACCGAGCTATCAAACCCAGTTCCCAACAATGTCTGCCGCCGTCGTCGAATAGAAACCAACATGGGCAAAAGCGGCTCCCTCCTCCCTGTCATCAACTTCCTATTGTAATCATGCTCATACCCACAACTACCCGTCTCGCGCCACCTCTCTCTCCACTCTCTCCTCAGATTTCCTGGTATTGTCGACGCAATCTCCATCCCGTCAACAAATAGCTCACTCTTTCTCATCTGGTCCCTTCTCTTCATGATTGCCTGCCGTTCATTTAGCCTCCTGTCCTCTCGAAAAAAAAACCCGCAGCCTTTCTCAACTCTCACACCCCAACAGCAGCGACAGCAGGAGAAAACACCAAGGCGCACCGCTGGGGGTCAAACACAAAGCTTACCTCTTCCATCCTTTCGTGCTCACTCTCACCATCATCATCATCATCACCGTCATCACTTCCCAGCAGAGGCTCTTTCACCAACCCATGATCCCTCTCACCATCCAGTGACAGTGAAGTATCACCCGTACCTGTAGTCTCACTCGATCCCCCAGGCGAAGACGTCAACTCCAACCCCGTCGTCCCGGCTGAATTCCTCGTCGAGTCAGAATTTTTACTTCTCACAGTCAAACCCCAATCATCTTCCTCGTCAAAACTGTTGTTCTCCTCATCACCAATTTCCTGCCCCAGCTCCGCACCCGTCGTTATCCTCTCCAAGTTCACCCTCAAGCTTTTGATAACCTCTTTCACCTCCCCGATCATCGACTCCTTCTTCCTTCGTTTGTACACACAACTTCTGCAATCCTCCCCAACCTTGACGGTGTGAAACCCATGAGACCACATTTGGTTACACCCCTCCTCCGGCAGCAGATTTTGCTTGTCAAAACCACCTCCAGTCTCATTCATAGTCTCATTCTCGTTATCATTATCAGACTCGGGCATCCCACCCCTTAGAAACCTCCTCTCGACCTCGCAAGGAATCGTCGCTTCGGGCGTCGTAAGCCAGGCGTAGTGGCTGCAGGCGAAGAGGATGCGTTTGTGGAAGCACATTATCGTTTGTTGTGGTGATGTGTGGGGGTGACATGAAGTCCACAAAAACGTGAGAAGGTGTGATGACGGACGGCGTGTGTGTGTGTGTGTGTGTGTGTGTGTGTGTGTGTGTGTGTGGCCGTTGGATTTGCCCCAGATATGGGAGTTTGGTTGAGGCTGTGGGCTAGTTGAAGGTTGTTTCTGCGCTGGCGTCGTGGGCAGGTATTAAGGTGCAGCAGTATGAGGTATCAACATGTGGCTTTTGGTGGAATATTCTGGATGGATGATGTGTCAATCCAAGGGAGGCATTGAAGCTCTTGTTGTTTCGCCTGTTCTGACTGTTGGACGATGTGATAAGTGATAGGGTCCCTTTGTCGGTTATCGGCGTTAGGAGCGAGCAAACGCCCACAATTAAGCCCGTAAGGAGATGGCGAGGTGAGATTCTTTGGTTGTTGTGGGACTTTTTGTGGAGGCATTGAAAGGGTTTTTCTTGTCATGGAAGCAGCAGGGAGATATTATGGAAGTTGGATGGCTCACATTCCAGTTGCCTTCAACACCAAGTGTGGTGTGAGACATTGACACATTTTCAACATTCAGTTCCCGCATTTCATCACGGCCGAATATTTTATCTATTGACACCTTCACCTTCAACATCACCACCTCACCTCCGCAGCCCCTCAACCACACCACTCCTCATGAGCTCCTCGAAATCCCTCGCCCACACCATCCCCTGTTTCTTCCCATCTTTTTCTCTCCTATACTCCCCCCCCACATGCGGCACCCCATACCCAATCCTCCTCAACGTAACCAACAACTTCCCCTCCTCTTCATCAGCAACCACAACCCCCAAATCCGCCTCCACCAAACAAGCCAAATCCGTGGTCGAGTCCCCAAAATACACCACCCGTTTCCTCTCCCCTCCTTCCTTTGACAACAACTCCATCCCCCTCAATTTATCCCCCGCCGTCATCATCACCTCCCTCCCCAGCTCCTTCGGCCCTTCAATCGTCCCCTCTGGGTATCTAATCCCATTCGCCACCACCTTAACCCCATCCAACCCGCCGCACTGCTCACTTATAACCCCCATGATAAAATCCCGACTCCAATTCACACTCACAACCCCAATCTCCCAGCCATTCTCTCGACACCGTCCCACAAACTCCTTGAACCCCCTCCTCAAAACCACCCTCTCCTCTTCTCCCTCCCCTCCCCGCCCATTCTCCACGATCCTCTGCCCAAACACCCGAAAGTCCTCCTCTCTAAGGTTTGCAAAAAGTGATCCCCGACTAACCCTCCCAATCGACACCCCCTCTGGCCCCCTCAAACTCTCAAGATACTCCAACTCCTGCCCCAGCGTGGTCCTCCCTTTGGCCTCGGGCACATAATTCTTGGTGTGCTCCGCATGATCAGCCACATACCCCTCCACAATCTCCTCCCACAGCTTCTCATGCCCCTCCGTCACTTCCCCCGGGTGGTGAGATGTCGGCAATGAAGCCAGGGTGTTGATCGTGTCAGCAGTCGTGATGGTGCCGTCAAAGTCGAGGATGATTATGCCTGCCATTTTCTCCAGACAAAATGCGGGGTATATGGTTGCGGTGAAAGTTTCTTGGGTATTGTGAAGAGAAAAAGATGCAGAACGAAACAAAAAAACAAAGTGTTTTAGGTAGTCAGTAGTGAGACGTTGTATGTGCAGCAAATGCGAGATGACGGCAGAATCAAACCTGGCCTGCATGTAAAGCGGGAAACGGGTTGATCAATTTATAGACACACTCAAAAAACCTTTGACCCCACTTGGACTACATGGTTACTTTTCATAACACACGCTTGGTGTTATCCATGCCAGATATCTCTATTCTGTGTGTCTGCCTTGTTCAAAGGCATGCAGCTGTTCGCTGCCAAACCCAACAAACGCCCAAGTGTCACCGTCCCCCGCCCTTTCAGCATTAATGTACAACGCAGACAAAAAACAGACCCACTCCTTCTCCTCACCTCAGGGGTATCACTCGTTTTCATTTTTCTCTACCCATACTTGCGTGCCTAAGGACGGCGCCTTGCGTCCTTGAGGCGGCAGCGACGGCGAGATTTTGCTGCCGTTGAAGATCGAAAACTCTTTCTCCAGTTCCCATCTCCCAGGGCTGTTTATACAAATCCTCCGTGTCGTCTTGACCGTTGATGTCTTTCCTAAATCACATCCTCCATCTTGATGTCCTCGTCCTCTTCGTCACTAATGTTGTTATCGGGTGGTGGAGCTGCCGCACCGTCCTCCGGCTGCGCTGTCTTGAGCATGCTCTTGTACTCTGCCTTTAACTCCCAGTGGTTGGCAAAAGACCCAGAACGATGAAGCACAGCAATCTTCTCGAGGGTCTCCCGCAAATAAACCTCTGGCTGTGGGATGACGGCGCGGATAGCCTTGATAGACCAGAATCTGTGGCGGCCGAAGCATTCGGCGATGGCATCAAGGAGCTGGTTCTCGGGCCAGCGCGCGGTCTTGTTCTCCATCTTCTTGGCCTTGGTGGGTTTCTCGGTAACTTTCTGTGAGGTTGTTAGCGATGCGGCAAGTTAAAGGGCGCCATCGAAGAAAACATACGAGATATCCAGCCCACTCCTTGTCTCCAGACAAGCCTCGAGGGTTGGTACCAGCCTCGTACACCTTGACTTCCTTCTTCGTTTCTTGCGTCTTCTTCGTGCGAGAGAACAGAAATCTTTCGGTCTCGGGGTTGGCGGCGGGCGTGCAAAGTACTTCGTGCTTGATTCTGCCAGCAATTCTGGTTTTCTCTGCAAACAAAGGTTAGCAAACAAAACCCTACAAGGAAAGAGCGGGGCTGCTCACTTGGAATCGCCTTCCGCGTATATGGGCCGCTTCTTCTCCCTCGGTCCGACGACTCTCCTGACTGCTTTTGCTGTTGCTGACGCAAAAGATGAGCCGGGATACCGGCAGCCAACGCCTTTGCCCTCTCCTTGTTCTTGGCCGCGTAGCTGCCTAGATCCTGCTCGGTGAAGACGAAGGTGTTGTGAACATCGGGGTTGTGGACATCGAGATTGTACTCCTTGGGAAGTTCTTGATGTGGCTGAATGTTAGAGTGAAGGAGCATCTGGAGTTGCTGTTACCACAAGATGTCAGTAAAAGTGCGAGAGACAGCGCAGTAGAGGGACACCAACCATTTTGCCGTCCTTGTCCTGGAACTGTCGAATCTTGCCAATTTCGATCTCGTCATCGTCATCCAATTTCGACCAAGCTTCCCATAGATAACTGGGGAGACGCGCCAGGTACATCCTATCGTACGTGTCGGCAGAGTCTTTAAACTTGTCGTAGAACTCGAGATCGGCCGACTCGTCAAGCAGGTCCTCCATGAACGGCGAGCCGTTGGCCGCGTCGGGCTCAGCCTTGACTGGCTTCTGCTCCTCGGTCTTGATAAATCCAGCCATGGCTTCTTATGATGTAGTTGGAATAATCGTGTTTGCTGCCTGCGGTGAGATGTCGCAAGAATTGATGGTCTCGAATGTCGAGACAAAGAAGATGCTTGAATTCAAGGACCTGCCTGGCCAGCCACTGAGGTAAGCACGCGCTGCTGTAGTGGTAGTGGTAGGGATGAAAGTGGGGCGTTTCTAGCGGCTTTTGTCTGCTGGGAATCCCTGGACAAATGCGGATCCGAGATCAACGGATCGGGTTGCTCCAAGCCTTGTTATCCTCAACTCTCCAACAACAGCCTTTTTCACATCGCAGTAAAGCTCCCACGTAACAAAGTTTACTACGGCTACTCTTTGAAACTTCCAGGGCTTATCATCATATTTCGTGCTCTTATCAGTCTCGCGCTCGGTTGATGACGCAAGGGCAGCGGCAGTTGCCACTAAACCCCGAGAACCCGTTGGTCGCTCTTAGCGCCATTTGGCTGGGCCACAATTCCCCGCTTGCCCTGTGCACCGATTTCTTTCCCTCTTCATCCCACTTGAATTCGCATTCTCGACCATCACCGCAACTTTGCTTTTGCGTACAACTTTCGACTCTTGCTGGTACTGGCCGCGGATATCACAGCCTTGAAATATACGCTACACGTGATACCACCGACAACATGTCAACCTCCACCGAGGACCGCGAGGTCATGGAGAGGATCGCTCGCCTGGCCAGTCGCGTTAATCGACACAAGAATCAGCAGGCCGGCCTCATCCCTCCCCCGCCCTTCCGAGCCCAGCACCGTATGTCCATCGACTCGAAGAGTGCCCGCCGCACCGATATTGATGTTCCCAAAGATACAGGGTACTACCGAGGATCCCACCGCGGACATCCGTACCGTGGTTACCATGGTGCCCCGAGGCCTGTCCATCGTAACAGGACTCTGGTTTTGAATGGCGCCTCTCCGTCAAGCAGATCTGTCGACGATCACGGAGCTTCATCAGATACCTCTACCAGTTCTTGGGTCCACAAGAATGACCGCCATCTTCAGATCATCAACTCCTCGGTCTACCAGCAGGAAGCACCGTCACGTCGCCAGGCAATGGAACAAACTCGGCAACAGCAACTCGCCGCGAAAAACAGACAAGAGCGCGCCAAGTTGATCAGTCATCTCAACCGATTGGCAAACAATGGAGGCTATGAGACAGCTAACCATCAGAAAACCGCCGGCAAATATGTTATCACCGTTGACGGCATCCAATTCACCGTGACGAAACAAGGCAGCAAGCTTGTCAAGGTTCCCGGTGCGTCAAGCTCGCGTTCAACTGGAGACGGAGAAGTCACTTATCCCAGCGCAGGCGATGGAAACTCGGCAAAGGCAACCCCCAGGATGGCCGTGGTTGGCGGTGTCAAGTTTTACAGAAGCAAGAACGGCAACCTGTATCGGCATGGCGTTGTCAAAGCCCAGCGGTATGTCTTCCCGAGCCGTCAAGTGTGACCGCTGACTTACAGCATATCCAGACAATCTGGCACCGTGAAGAAAGTCAACGTGCCTTGCAAACAGTTTTCGATGATGGGTAACTCTATATTCTTCGACCGACGCCGTGGACCAAGTCACCCTGATTGGTGTTCGGTAAGCCCAGCGAAACGATCTAACATGCTTGTAGGCTCCTGCGCCAAAGGCCCCCAGTGCCGGTATACCCACGACCCCCACAAGGTTGCCATCTGCAAAGACTTTTTGCTGGGCGGCTGCCCCAACGGCGATGACTGCGATCTCTCCCATGACCCCACCCCCGAGCGCACCCCAGCCTGTTTGCACTATGCTCGAGATAGCTGCACCAAGTCTGATTGCAAGTATGCTCACGTGAAAGTGTCTACAGCTGCCCCCGTATGTCGCTCCTTTGGCTTCTACGGCTACTGCGAAGGAGGTGCAGAATGCCCCGAGCGGCATGTGTTTGAGTGCCCCGATTTTAGCAACACAGGCACGTGTAAGATCCGGGGTTGTAAGCTCCCCCACCGAGAGAGGGCAAGCGTCCTTCGCAAAGCGTCGAGCTTTAAGAGCGAAGACGTAGAGATGGAGGATGTTTCAAGCGACGATGATGGGGAGTCTATCGATGACTACGATGTGGACTCGGACGAGGTTGACGAGTTCATTGGCGAGGATGAGACTGGTGGTCTCGATTTCACTGAGCAAAAGGACTTCATCGAACTATGATGACGATGCGTGCCTTGCGCTGCTCTGACTGATACGTTAGACCCGCCATCTCTTTTCTTTGCAATTTGTTCTTAGCAGGCATCGATACCCTTTTGTTTCTTTTGTTCTGTTCAGGAGAGCCTGGAGTTACCCGTCAACGACCTCGAGTCGTGACGATGTTGGATTATAGAGCAAGAAAAAGCAAAAGTACATAGCTAGAGAGGAATTGAAGAATATTTGTACCAGCCTTGTCTCCAACTACATGTGGCAAGCTTGCTTATTCCCGGCTGTCTGTTGCCGGCACGATATTGACTGCCGAGTTTTGATGGATCGAGGGCCCCTCACCTCCTCATTACTCCGCACGACTATGAAGGTGGTGGTGACATATCACCTGTCACGCACTGTTCGGCACAATGATGAGGAAGCATTTTGGGCCGTTGGTATCCCAAGCATATAGGACCACCCACAAGTTCCATTGGTTGCCACACCATGTTGGTTATGGGGACGCATCAATAGTTTGATCGTGTTTTATGTGAGGGTCACCGGTTGTGTAACCTGTGTACCGAACCTAACTGTCGGATATGCTTCTGCGTGTTGGGTGTTGGTGGTGGATATATGTAGGGATATATGAGGACACCCACTCAAAGGATGGAAGTCTAGTTTATATAGATGGTGTCTTGTGCGTTGTTGATTGTATTGTTGCTTTCGTCGATGATCTCTACTCAAGGTACCTTAGTTTGTTTTGAAACCTTCTATATCATACAATGACACTCTCTGCGGAGCCTAACGGGTTGAATGGACATGCCGTCAATGGCAATGGCGTCAATGGTCATGAGCCTAGGCCTTTCGTTTTGAAGGATACACCTGTTGAAAATCTCCGTCCGCTTCGAGTTATCGTTGTTGGCGCTGGATTCTCCGGGATACTGGCTGCGATTAGGATCCCCGAGCGACTGAGAAATGTGGAATTGGTGGTGTATGAGAAGGCGGATGGTGTTGGGGGAGTGTGGTAAGTCCTCCATATACCTGATCTCAAGTTCTGTTGTCCAACAAGTCCAGGCATGCGAATAGATATCCCGGGGTGGCCTGTGATGTTCCTTGTAAGTCAGTTGCTCTCGTACCACCAAGAATGGCAGCCAACAAAAGACAGCATACTCCTATCAGTACACCTTCGCCCCAAACCCCAACTGGAGCGCGCTTTATGCCCCTGGTGGCGAGATACGGGAGTATCTTGAAGATGTAGCTACCCGCTTTGGGGCAATGAGATTCATCAAACTCAGTCATCGAGTGGAAGGTGGTGAATGGGATAACGTGGCCAAAAAATGGTTTGTGTTTTTGCCCCCTTTTCCACATTAGCACGTTAACACATTGCCCTTTCGCCGCATCAGCAGATTGACAAAATGCCCTCCCCTTCCGGTTCGATCACCTTACTAACGTTTGGCAAAGGAACGTCAAAGTCCACAATATAACAACCGGCGAGACCTTCACCGACAGCGCCAACATCCTCGTCACAGCCCGCGGCCAGCTCAGCGAACCCTCCTGGCCCTCCATCCCCGGCCTGGACACCTTCACCGGCAAAATAATGCATTCTGGGGCCTGGGACACGAGCTACGACTTTAGCAACAAACGCATCGGAGTCATAGGCAACGGCTCCTCCGCTATTCAAATCATCCCCCAGCTCCAAAAGATCCCGGGTACCCAGCTGAAATGCTTCATGCGCTCGCCAACGTGGATTTCTCCGGAATTCGGTGACCAAGGCATGGCAGAACTCGGCTTCGACCCCAAGGTCACAAAATGTATATCCATCGATCCCTCCCCCCTTTTGGGCCAGATCTGATATGTTTCCAGTCTCTGAAGAGCAAAAATCCACCCTCCGCTCCGACCCTCAACTCTTCCTCAAATTCCGCAAAGTCTTTGAAGACCTAGGCAACACAATCCAGTCAACTACCCTCCTCTCCCACCCCGACCAGATCTCTTCCCAAGCCTTCTTCCACTCGTCCATGACAGCCAAACTCTCCTCCCGCCCCGATTTACTCCGGCTCATAATCCCCACCTTCGCCCCCGGCTGCCGTCGCGTAACCCCCGGCCCCGGATTTCTGGATTCCCTCCTCGAGCCAAACGTAACCGTGATCCCCTCCCCCATAACATCCATCACCCCCACTGGCATCGTCACCTCTCCCTCTTCCCACCATGAATTCGACGCCATAATCTGCGCCACCGGCTTCAACGTCGGCACCGCACCCCCCTTCCCCCTCTTAGGGCGCAACTCCCTCACCCTATCCCAACACTGGTTCCACCACCCCGAAACCTACCTCTCAATCACAACCCACAACTTCCCCAACCTCTTCTTCCTCTTCGGCCCCAACTCCGCCATCGGCTTCGGCTCCCTCACCAAAATCCTCGAAGCCCTAGTCGACTACCTAACCTCTTACATCCGCAAGCTCCAAAAAGAAGACTACGCCTCCATCGAGCCCAAACCCGAACGCGTCGCCGATTTCGAGTCCTACACCCAGGCGTACTTCAAGAACACGGTCTACATGGACAAGTGCCATTCCTGGTACAAGAGGGGGGATAGGATCGTCGGTCTCTGGCCGGGGAGCACGCTCCATGCTTTGGAGACGCTCAGGAGTCCGAGGTGGGAGGACTATGACTATGAGGGGTTGGAAGATGGGAATAATAGACTGGGGTGGTTGGGGAATGGGTGGAGTGTGACCCAGACTGTAACGGAGGAGGGGAAGAGAGGGGGTGATCCGAGTTGGTATTTGAATGAGGATGAGACTGAGATCCCCAAAGAGGGGAGGCCGGAGGAGAACGAGAGGTTGGGGAGGAGGCCTTGGAGCTATTAGGGGTGGTTCATACCTACTGTCTTGTCACCTAGTTTTTGATACAATGCCCTCGCTCCTTCCCGTCTTGCTTCTAGGTTACTTCCTCTTTCCTCTTTGATGCTTTCCTTTCTGCTCGAGCCCCTTCCCTGTCCACTCCTGGGCTCATCCCTTTGACAGATTCCCACATTTGCACATTATCACATTATCACATTCCCCTCTTTTCACCTTTCACAACCATTTCAGCAAACCAAAGTTATATATCCATTCTTTCTACATCTAAATCTATATAATTCCCCCATCTCCATCAACATCATACAGATTGGCAATATCATACACCCTCTACTCCCACCTACAAACCAACTCCTCCCTCACTTCCCCTCCTCCCTCTCCCCTGACACAAACAGCCGGCGCGACCCCCTCACAAGTCAGCGCCCCAACCACCATCCCTGGCCTCTCCATTCCCTCATACCCATTCACACTCCCCGCCAAAAAGTCACACCGTCTCCCATACGCCACAACCCCCTTATAGCTCGTCTCCAATCCCGATGTCCCATTCCCACTCATCACCCAATCCGGCTCCACACCGCCCATCCCAACAACCGTCCCGTTAACATCCCCGCTAAACCCACTAACCACAAACCCTCCCTTCGCATCCCTCTCCGAATAAATCTCATACACGGCATCAACATGCTCGGGATCCTCCGTCACCGTCTCCGTCGACGATGGTGGTGAAGCAACTCTGTTGGCGCCACTGTCGGGCTCATCAACTGGGTTTGGCTCCAGGCCCCCTCCGCCACCGGTATACTGCCACTGGCAAGTCCCACTCGCACAACAAGCTGGCGAGTTCTTGGAGCACCCATCCCCGTTCTTGGGACAGTCACACTTGGGACAGGAGGCATTGTGGCAGCACGCAGGAGACTGTTCATCGCAACCAGTGTCGCCGCATCGGCAGGGGTTGCCACGGTCAAGCTTGCACTTGTCGTCACATTCCGGGGAAGGGGTAGGTGTGCCACCCCCGCCACGGGTGGTGGTCGGTTTGTTAGGACCCGGGATGTGGGTGACAGGGACGGGGTTGCCGGCGTTGGGATCTTTGGGGTCCATATAATCGGGCGGGATACCGGATGGCTTTGGTCGGCAGAAGAACCCGGTACAGAGCTTGCCGCCGCAGTTGTTGGACTGGCAGGTTGGGGAGGGTGTGGGTTTGGGCTGGTAGTCAATGGACTTTTCTGCGCCGGAGCCGCCGGGGGTAAAAGGACAGCTACCACCGCTGCCGGCTTGTCTTTTGCTGTTGGGTGGAGGTGCCGGATTGTTGCAGTTTACCGACTCACCAGGGTTCTCAGGGAGGGTGCTGAGCCGGTCAGGAATGTCTGGACAGGCCTTGGTGGTGTCCCAAGTTTGGCGAGTGTCATAATCAACGAGACAGTTCTTGTCTTTGACTTGGCCGTTCCAGATTACCGGCTTACTCTGAGCCAAGATGGGAAAGTTCTTTGCCCTCTGAGCGTTCCAAAAGCCATATCTTCGGTGGAAAAGCCGAATCAGTTTCTTGACATTGGCTGGCTCCTCGAGCTGCGTCTGCCACTTAGACGGAAGAGAGCGCCAGTAGGCCGCCAAACCCGCAACCTGAGGCGCTGCTGCTGAGGTGCCAGACGCCATATTTCTGGAATACTTGTCGCCTGCGGCGTTGGGGTCGCTGGTGCATGGGACGTTTTCGCCCGGGGCGAAGGTGGTCATGTAATTGGATGTCTGGCCCCTGGTGTATTCGATACCGATGTTTTGAGTGGCACCGACCACAATGAGGTTCTTTATCTCTCCGTAAGGGTTTCTTTTCTTGTCTGAACTGGCGAAGCGAGCTGGAAACCGGCTGATTTCCCTGCCCTCATCGTGTGCGTGGTTACCCGATGAAGCCACAAGCACAACACCCATTTTGTCCAGTTCGGTCAAGACCCAGTGGGTAGATTGGAGGGTGGCCGGAATGGCCCTCCCCGGAGGGTACGACCACGACATGTTGATGACTGCCTTCTTTGCGTTTCCCCTGAGATGAATATCTCGAAACGCGGCCATCAGATGGGCAATGCCGCGCTCGCGTACAAAGTTCGGGTTGAAATAGGGGTCATCGGTAGACCATAGCTTCGTCTCGAACCAAACACCTCGACACTTCTTGCAGATACCCAGCTTCGCTCCGATGGCATATGCAGCGACACAGGTGCCATGAAAGGCATCTGCCTTGTCGTTTTCGACGTCGTATTTGCCTCCTGGAAGCACGATATCGAGTTCACCCTGAAATCCCTCGGATGCCTTGAACTCGGGATGATCGGTCCACACCCTCGCCTCGCCCGTCACGTAGATGGTGTGTTCCGTGCTTCCTCCTTGGTCATCCCACTGATACAGATAGGGATTGGCAAGATTGCTGTAGTCGTATGAATCTGTACCCGCTTCTCGCCAGTTCCAGCCTTTGGGGAGCGACACGATAGATGACGCCCAAAAATTCGTGGCCGTAGTCGTGCGGGCTCTTTTGAACAGAGGAGACGCGAGCGACGTCCAACCGTCATCATCGTGAGTAATACCCTCGGAATGAGCGGGTAGCGCCATCTCACCGTTGATATTCCCTGACCTGTCTGGCCCATTGCCAGCATTGTTCCAGTCTTGGTAATAGTAGGCGTCGTTCACAAAGGGTGAACTCTTCAACCTCTTCATGGTCTCCTCGTCTAACAGAGGCACCCACCAGTAACCGACAATGTTCAACTCCGGGACGCCGATCGTCTCGTATTTTCCGGCATACGCGCTGAGCAAGGACGGAATATCGCCCGCGCTCTTGGGATCCTTGGGATACACAATGGCATTCTTGCCGCAGCTATTGCCGTTGCCGTTCTGTCGTGGGTTCAAAAGACTGGGATCATCGCCGTCTCGGGCTTTTACTCTCGGCTTTGGCGTGCACGACTCTATCGCAGTCGACACAGTCCTCGTGTTCTGGTCCGTCACATCGCAGCCCCTGACCGTCTCGCACTGTCGCGAGGTGGCGGTTGCTGTTGTCCGGGTTGAGTCTTCTGCAATCTTGGTCACAGAGAAGATGGTTGTTGTAGTGCAGAGCGATGCCGACTTGGTGGTGCAGCTCGTAGGTTCGTTGGAGTATGTAAGTTTCCTGTCACGGCCAATGGTGATTTCTGGCCATGGCGGCAGTGTGCCTTCAACCTTGAAGGGAAACTTTATGAAGGGCGGCGGAGGCCCTCTGTTTTGCCATGTTAGTTCTCAGATCTCGTCTAGAGATTCGATATGAAGAAGCAACTTACGGAGGATAGATACCAGGCGGCAACGTCCACTTCCACCCCCCAATCTTGATATTATCCCAGCGAATGCAGAAAAAGAAAAACCAAAGCTTGCAAGATGTGAAAGTACCGTCATCCTCGGGCTCTGACTCTTCGACTTCTCTCTCCACGGGCGTGATCTCTCCAGGCGGCCACGTAGTCCACACTGGGAGAGGCTCGTCACTGGTTGTTGATTCCGAAGGGCCAGGTGTTGGCTCCGGGAATCGAGGAAAGTCCCAAACTGATGATACAGTGCAGTCAACTGTAAACACACCCGCAGACGGTCCCAGAAACGTCACCACCTTTGTTGTTGGGCACGAGAACCCAAACTTGAACTCTGTCGGAGTAGGACAGTCTACCGTGAGAGTCATGCGAGGTGTGTTGAAGGATATCTCGCTTGACGGAGGACACTGGTATGTCTGTGGGTGTACAATGGCCGGAAATGTCAAGGTCGTGACCGTAGCCGCGGAGGCCGTTACTATCGTCGACCACGGGGTGTGGAAAGCCTGGCCGACGCCGCCACTCGGGATAGGGCTAGGATTACCCCATGGTCCATCATACTCCCAGTCCTCTGGCGGACCGCGGTTGACATCAGGCCAGGGCGGAAGGAATACTTGACGGGTGGTGGTGCCGCCATTGCCATCAGGGAGAGGAACTCCAATGGGCGGGATCTCAACTCTGGGGGTCGCTATGAAGCCGCCTCCGCCCTGCCCTCGCGTGACGTTGACATTGGAGTAAGGCAGGCCACTATTTTTCGGGATGGTAATGGGCGGTACAGTGATAGTAATGGTGGTTGTAGTGGTATAAAAAGTCGTGATAACCTGTCCCCCGGGGCCGGTTGAAGAGCCCTGGCGACCGTATTCCAGCGATGTGGTGTATTCAGACGGAGATATGGTGGTGTCTTGGCCCAGGGTGCTCGTGGGTAATACGAGAACGCAAGGCGGCGAGCAGGCAGCCGTTGGTCTGTCCCAGATCTCCGGACCGACATATACAACACTGATATTGTCAGAGCCGTCCAAGGGAAGCCAAACACTGACCTCGGTGGTGAAACCGCTATCTCTTGTTAGCCTGCTGATATTTCCTTCTTGTTGGGTAGCCGACGAATTTGACTTACCGTTGGTTAGATTCATTCCTAAAGATATTCGTGTCGCTAGGTGAGTGGCATCAGTATGAAGCTCGACCGCAACATCAGGTCCAACAGACTCACTCAATACCCGAGGCAATATTGACCGTCCCTACAGTGAAGAGGTTGAAGATGGCCACATTTTTCGATCCTTTGACTTCCAGAATCTTGTCCTGGCAGTCAAACGTCTCGAGACAGTCCTGATAGTAGTCCTGGAAGAAGCTGTACAACCCAGACCCGTGAATAGTGATGTTCTCCGAGTCAATGATGCGCAGACCCCAGCCAGCTTTACAGCTGTCCGTGGTGCATTCCAAAAACGACGGGTCTGCCGCCATGGGCCTCGCGCCATCGAATGGGTAAGGTGCCACAGGGTTGGGCTGATAGTAAGGCGTCTCCGATTGAATATGGCCGAGGTAGACGTTCTTCGCCTTGTTCAACTGGTACTGATACATGACGCAGTGTTCTGATCCAGTGCCATAGAACCATGTCGGCTCTTGGGACTCAATCAAGGTACATCTCGCGGCATAAAGACTGATCTGGTTGATGAGCTTGTCAGGAGAGTCATAGACAACCATGTCATTGTCACTGCACGTCGGTTAGTCTTGAAGTGTCCATCCGAAAATAGATCAGTACTCACTGGTCTGCTACCCAAACCCAGACGTTCTCAAAGTACCCCGAGGCCTGTGCAGTCACATGGAGGAGCATAGACGCGCATATGCATTGATCGTTGAAACCACCCTTGGGACAGTTGTCGATGTCAAGGTCAGTCCCTATGCCGCCTCCCACACGCACATGCGAATCCCACATGCCAGCTATCAGCATACCAAGTTTAGATTAGTACGGACATCGCCAGGTAGAAAAGGAGGAATCCTCACCAGCTCCTTGCTCATCCCCAGCAACATTCCATTCCACCAAAATTGCACCCGCCGTCGCCCCCTTGACCGTGAACAGCATGTCCGTAATCTCCATCGTTCCCAAGTCTCCCCTGTTTCCAACCCTAACCATCACCCGCGGGGCGTTCATATCAGCAAAGTAAAACCCGCTCCCTTGTATCTGCGACCAACTGGAACCAACCACTCTGCTGCCCGTGGGGATAAACACTGTCCCGCCCACCTGGTAAATACCTGCCGGGAAATAGGCAATCTGGCTGTTGGCCTTGGCTTTGAGCAAGAAGGCGTTGATAGCGAGGGTCTGATCGCCGGTGCCATCGTTCTTGATGCCTTCTTTGGTAGCAACAAGGAAGTTTTCGGGGCTAAAGTCGGCGTATTGAGGGCGAGACTTGGTGAACAGCTTCTTGTCGTCTCCCAACAACCCGGCGGCTTTAGAAGGGGCTTTCACGGGTCCGGTCTCGGATGACCCCTTGTCCCCATTGTAGCGACGGCCGTGGGCCCAGAGGTCAATGGTTGCGGTGTCAGATGTGCCGGAGAGAAGGGAGGGACCGTTGTCCACTTGAACGACTTGGGCGACGTTGGAGATCTTGACATTATCGAGAACGATGTTGGGGGATTGTTCGTGGGAGTTTGTCAGGATGCCGATTGGAGTGTTGGTAATGGAGGAATCGATTACCGAGATGGAGCCAATGCCTTGTCCTGTGGCTCCTCCACGGCCGCTGATGTTGAAGGCAATGGCGCTGTCTTTGACTTCAATCTGAGGTGGGCAATGTTAGTTGGAGAATGTCTGGAATGAGCCTTGAGAAAGGAGGGAGCCTTACCCCTTGCCAGTTAAACCCCCAATCCCAAATCATCTGAACGGCTGTCAGGCAGCCGTTAAACTTCAGGTTGCGTGCCGTGTATTGCTGAGACCCAGCACGCCAACCAATAGCTCCTCCATTGAAGGTCTAAAAAAGTGGTGTCAGCTTTGTCACCCCGAAATCATTGCAAACGAAACATACCAGATCAGCAACAAAACCACCAGACCCGTTCTCGGTAAAGATTCCCACGGCAGTTGTCGTTTCATCATCCGTGGCTTTGGGCATGTTGAAGACCAAGTTCTCCAACGAAGTTGCCTGCGACACCTGCCAATGAATACCAGTGGGAACCAGGGGCTGGTCATTGTCGGCCGTGGAGATGGGCATCTCCGTCAGGTCAAAGATGAAGTTCCGGATCTGACGGAAGAATTGGTTTTGGTTGATGTACCAGTTTTGGCCGCCCCTATATGGCGGTCAGTTCATGTGCTGGGAGCGAAGAGTCAAAGATATCAACATACCCTCCGGGAATATACGGATCAGCATCGAAGAGGGCAATTCCTTTGAACGACCTGCATCCCTTGATGGTTGGTGGATCGTGCGGATCACCAATGAACTGTGAGTAGTATAGCTGGACAACGGGGCTGCAGATTTTGTACGTGCCCGGCTGTGTTGTGTCAGTCTCCCATCTTCTGATATCAGTGGTGAAGTCGAGGTACTCACGGGAAAGTAGATGATGGCTCCCTGAGTGAAAGTGTTGCCACACTCCAGCCCACAGCGGTTGCCATCCTCTACGGCGGCATTTATGGCCTCTGAAGCATCGCTCTCACCAGTGTTGTCAGCACCGTAATCAGCAACAACATCACGGTAGAACTTGTAGTTGCTTCCGCCAGCATGCGGTTGTATTCCCAAGGGACCAAGTGTGGTAAGCCAGTAATCGGAAGCCCGCTTGTGAAGTGGGGCCGAGCCACGGCTCAACAGAGTCCGGGTGTTGTTGAGATATAGGGTGCTATTTGAACCTAGAGTGCCATTGAGGTGATTTTGAGGGCGGTCCCCGGCTCCGGGTGTTAGTCCTTTACCATAACCACCTCGAATGACTTTGTTGGCTCGGAGGTTGGACATGTATTTGGCAAAGCTCTCGCTGTATCTCCAGACTGGGCCATTTTGTTTGCCCTTGTCTGGTGCTACTCCATAATAGTTCTTTTGGTTGTCAACCATATAAGGAAAGTTGGCCTGAAGTGGTTAGTCAGAGGCTTCAAAACTGTCAAGAATGGTAGCCCTCACCTGGGGTCCGTATTCAGGTACATGTGGAAAGCGTTCTGGATCCGCATAGGTCCATTCTGCTTTCAGACATCTGAAGTAAAGAAACAGAGAAAAGAGCGTGCAGAGCAGCATCTTCACCGTTGTAAAGGAGTGACAGGTGAAGAGAGTTGCGGTGACCAAGAAGACTCCACAACATCATCGTATAGGGACAAGAGCTCCTTATAAGTGGCACGCAATGGGATATCTTGACGCTCAACTCTTCCCAGGCCAAATAATGGTTAGCACCATCACGACCTCACAAGAAACTGCCTTGGGCTATCATGATCCTGCCACAAGGTCTTCGGCCGGTGTATACTGATTCGGTATACATCTTTCGTGGCTAGATGAGATGGCTTGCCTTGAACGTATTCTGGCCCAATGGCGCCCTAGATTCAGTTGAGTCTATCACCCAATGGCTTCTCAGACCATCACCAACTTCAAAAAAGTCCATCTAACCGTCATTATCAGTTGTTGTGGCAAATTGCTGCTTCATGCCCTGGGCTACCAACGGCCTGGCCACCTGACCGTAGTCATATACCCGGTAGGTGAATAGATCTTCCAAGCAATCTACAATGCTTGATTCAACTACAATTTCTGAAGTTCGGACGAAACTATGGGCCTCTTTTTGTTGGCCTCACATACTGGCCGTCTGCGCCATGTTCCTGCGTCAAGACGACCGCAGCTGTCCATGCATGGATGACCTCCAGAAAGACTAAAGAACCCACCTAGTATGGAAACCAATTTGATAGGATTTTATTCGGGGCTGAAATCTTGAACTTAACCATGTCCCAACAGCTCGTAAATAACTAGAATGAATGACCAACGCTTGAAAATAGAGTCTCTTTTAGGTGGAAGATCCGAGTGGCAACAGGCACCCAGGAGGTCATGGCAAATTGACGATGGCCTCGTTGATGGCTCGAACCGATTAGAGAACACTCAAGGCAGAAATTACCCTCCCTTATTACAATGTACTTGTGCTGGGTTACCTTATATGGTGATTTGACTGGTGAATGAGTGGGTATAAGATGACCGTGAAGAAGCGCCATTGAAGCACTCGAATCATCCTATCCACCTCATCACCTTCCAAACACTCGCTATTGTGCTTAGTACTGTCTCCTCAATCACGACAATGTTCACTGTCACCACTCTTCTTAAGTTGAGCCTGGCTCTTCTCACTGCCAGCGGCACCATGGTAGCCTCCCTCCCACCCAGCAACAAGCCAACTCTTCATCGGCGTGTCTGCTACGAAGGTGAAACCACCAACCTCTACTGCTACACCGAGGAAAACGGCGGCATCCCTCAAGAGGTGTCAGAAGACGATATCAAATATGTCGCCTCCTACCTCCGCTCGTATGGTCGGCAGGTCCGCGCTGGCCGGCTCTTGACAATGGGCCCGGCTGAGCTCGGCACTTGTGACGAATGGACGCTTTACCAACGTGGCTCCGTCATGGTCACGGCCAAGCACCTCAACGATACGGCCAATTCGGCCGTCCTTTTCGAAGATGTCGCCACCACGATCGACGGCGGCGTGGGAGCGACGGATGCTCAAAAGGCGAAAGCCATTATTGGGTGCTTGTCTGACGGTGGCTCGCTGGGTGTCAGGGTTAACAGAACCAACCCCATGTATAATTCGACTGCCTATGTCAGCAATCGTTACACGCCCACCGGAATCGTCATCAAGGTTGTGTCGAGCGGCCAGTGAGGAAGGAGGCTGTATTGCCAGTGTATCAGTGGTGGTGACGAAGAGGATGAACGGACGAGGAAAATCAGGGCTTTTTTGTGTATTTCTGCCTTTCGACTCATTCGACTCAGGCGCTGCTGCTTTTTTGTACCTTACCTTGCTTGATAAAATTCCATGTTTGTTTCGCGCCTTCCTTGTGCAGTTTGTTTGCCAACAACCAACGACTGCTCATGTGACGCCCACTTCAATACCCCACGATTTCATCAGCCCGAAATAGTGTGTCTGCACTATTTACCTTGCAAGTGTTTATGAAACTGCTGCGTTATCGACCATGTCATCCAACTTCACACCGTACTGGGTGAAAGCCAACAGCCAGACGCCAGCAGCACCAGATGCGTTGGTCGTCTACATCGTCGCAAAACTCGGCCTCAACGGCACAGGCCAACACTATCCTCTGGCAGTCGTCAAACGCGAAGGCGGCCTAGTAGATTTGGATGCCGTTCAAGGCAGAGATGTCCTTTCAGCCATTCTGGGTGCTGTCACTGTCTTTTCTGACCCATCGAACCACATCGGTATCCAGTCTGAACTCTCGCTCGCCGCCCAGTTCTACCAAGATCCCAGAAATGGGCTGCATCGAACAGAGCTCTCCAACACACCAACATGGATGAGGCAGTCCATTTCTCCGCAGTGGGAATGCGGTGTGCGCGAGTTCCCGTTTATCTCGACATGTCTTGTGCTCGGCGTGGCTTTTGACAGGGAACGCGGAGTAGGCTTGTCTGTCCTGCCTGCACCACTGGGTACTATGTTTAGCAACACAAACATGGAGTATGCGATGGCTGTGGTGGACATCACTGAGTTGAACGCAATCCGGTATGGGATCATTGCCTTTCGGTCAACCGTAATGATTCACGTATCAGAACGCCCTCGAGAAGTGGATGAATACAACGACTGGGGAGACAGTGACCCTTCAGGGCCGCGCGAGCTTCGTCTAGAAGAAAATAGGACACGCGAACCCCTTTCCGCCGCTGGGTATCTGACTAAATTTGAGTACGAGGCTTGCGATGACCTGGTGAAGAAGCTCGACGAAGTTGAACTTATTGATCCGACAGTCTTGGACCTGATATGGCCGCTGACCACCGCTGTCTTGCCTGCCCTTTCCCTATTTCCGGCCGAGAAAGACGCTGAGTTGACCGCTCTCATCGACGCTTTGCTTGAAAGTCAAAACCTTGATATAATATCCGAGACTCTTCTTACCCAACTTACCGGAACAGCGCACACCAAGTTTATACTTCGCCAACACCTACAGAAGCGCTCCCAAGACATAGGCCACTTACCCAAAACAGGCCAACTACTCGGACTTGCCTTTACCAACGAACTACATCTCGATCTAGTATCTTTTAACAAGCTCTCCTCCCTCTCTGTCATCGCTGCTCTCGAAACCACCCCGGCGCCACCTGTATCCCTCAGTCTCAACGTTGACACCCTTCACGACAGCTCAACCACCATCATCGACGCCCTCCTCACAAGACCAACCCTCAAATCTCTCTACCTTCTCCAATCACCCACCCGCACTTCCGACACCCCCAACAGGACCTTCCTTTCCGCCCTCGCCACCCACCCAGGCAAACCCCTAGCCCATTTTAAGAAATTACACATTTCCGGCCTTTACTCCTCCCCTTTCATCGGCGAACCTTTCCTCCCTGTTGTATCTCGCCCATGGCTTCATTCACCCTATCCTCTCCAATATCTTTTCCTCCGCCAACGAACCCAACACCATCCCCGCCAACCCCCCATTTCCCAAGTCCACTTCCTCAACCCACTCCTCCTCACCCCTGAAAAGTTTGCGGCTGGGTTGTTGATGTATCTCCGCTCTTTGCTCACCTCCACCGATATACAACACCATAGTCGCACTTCCCTATGGGGCTTCGCCTGCTGTCCTCCCACCCTAACCGTCGACCAGAAAACAAGGGTGGAGGTTGACCCTCTCCCTTTCTATACTCCTGACCCACCAAAAGTGAGGGAACTACCAGAGGAGAGTTGGAACGTGATCGTGGAGAGAGGGATACATGTTGATGTCGGGAATAAAGGGCCGGAAGGGGAGGGGATGAGTTGGATGCCGGATTTGAAGGCTGCTTGGGTGAGGTATGCGCTTGTTAGGGTGGTCAAACCTGGGGGGGTAAAGCTTGATCAGGATTGGGAAATAAAGGAGAGAGATGTGGAGATTGTTGATTTGGAGGGGTTTTTGTACCGGGTGGATCTAGGATTTTCTAAGGCGGATGGAGATACTGTTTGGAGGAGGATGACGGAGTTTGAACGGGAGATGGAGGAGTGGCCGGGGCAGGGGGGGTTGGGTAAGGGGATGCCGAAGGTGGGAGTTATAGGGGAGAAGGAGGCGAGGGGGTTGTTGGCGGACTGTTTGACGGATGCGAGAAGCACATGAAGGATACCTGAGGGGAGCTAATGGGTTTAGGGGGGAGTCTTCATTTCTCTGGCGGCAAGTTGCACCTAGGCTACTCAGCATCAAAACAACACCAGCTACAAGTCAACCACAGACCATCCTTCAGCATCTGCGAATGTCACTGTTATCAAACCGCAAAGCGCCCTCCCATCCCCACCAGTAGTACTCATAAGCAGGCATATAGTCATACACGCAGTTGATCCCGCTATAAGGGTTTGTATCCGCAACGAGGTTCCTCTGATTGGAGTACTCAGAACGTGTGTTTGAAGCAATGTTGCACCACGCAAAGTCGCGTCCGTTGCACCTCCCAACATAGCACTGTCCGCCACGAGCGGTAAGGCGAGGGCCGCCAAACAGTCTGTTGAAGGCTGCGTGATCGGCTCTGAGAGCGTCATGGCCTGGACCATCGAAGAAGAATTGGCACGTCCAGTCGCCTCTGACGGCTTGCCGTTTGGTGAGAAATTCGAGTGCGTTGATGCCCTCGGCGGTTCTGTTTGTTGCCGGAGCGGACATGGTGCCAGGGGTAATGGCCGCGAGGAAGGTTATGATCGGAGTGATCTTCTGGGGTGTTGAAGTGGTTTGTTAGCGTTCTACATAGAGGGCCATTAGAGGTTGCTCTTACCATGATGGGCAGCTTTTTGAGTAGTGCTGTAATATCGAGACTCCGCTCTGAAAAGAGTATCAGAGCTAGCTGGATGATAATATATGTAAATTAAGGAGGTGTTCTTTTCCATGGAGTTTGCCTCATTATAAATACCCCAGATAGGTACCTACCTAGGTGGACTGGGCTGTATCTTTTCTCTAAATTTACCTACAATTTTGGCGATTCTGTTTCTGGGAGTAGATACCTATTTGCCACCACTCGGTTCTTGTTTGGGAAGGTCCCATCGTCATCGTGGTATTTGCCGTTCCCTCCCAGGTGACTACTAGGGAACTGAACGAAGTTTGGGACTAGGGAATAAATCATCACGAGCCAGTGTTATTCTACCAACCTGCGGGTAAATTCCCATTGACTAGCTCTTTACGATATCGAGTTTCTCTATTTTGATGTGCCTGCTTTACACCTTGCCATGCGGGCTGTGCCGTACAGAGATCCAATGGTAGCCTACAATCAACAAATCTACCTGTCTGCTGAGCCCTCTCTTCAGCTATTTGGCTTAAAGAGATGAACTTTGCTTCGATTCAGTTGAGATTCCTGAGCTAACAGTTTGATTTAATATGTGCTGCATGTAAAGTCCAGTACTGAGTTAATGCCCATCTGCTATTTATCTGCGGAAATCATGATGTTATGGAGGTCAAACAGTCACACAGTCAAATGAATCAAGTATTCATACACGTTTTGTTGTACGGCAGCGAGGATTTGTAATAGTTGATGATATTATTAAGTACTCAAACAAACAACTCCGGAGAGCAAAATCCTTTCCTTATCCTTTCCCAGATGCGTTGGCCCAGGGCCAAGGCCCTGGAGCAACCTGGCTGCCCAATCCCGCAGGAGTATTACCTCCCACACGTTTACTACCAATGCATACCTAATGAAAGACCTTTCTATTGTGGACTGAATGTTGAGTAAAGTACGATTGCCCCTGAGATTCCCCCCTGGCCGGGTATGGGATTGGTCTGTGTCCTACAGATGACTGCTTTGATGCCACCAGGAGTTCACCAAAACGTAAGAGCAGGTGTCCAACGAAAACAAAACGCTGATTTCTTTGAGAATATAGAAAAAGAAGTTATTAAAAGATGCAAAACATACAACACCGGGGATTCCCCAGTGGTCACCCACCTGAGTACTAGTCCGGCTGTGCGCAGCTTATCTAGGGGAGAGCGGACGGGATCCCGAGCTTTCTGCGCCATATGGTCGTATGTGCTTAGTTTGGTTAGTATTCGGCTATATGAAGAAAGCATTCTGAAAGACAAAGTCCTCGGGGGGTCACTTGACTGACTCTTTAAATCTGCTTTTGGTAGTCCGTAATACATGTGAATTTCACCTTGAATGCATGAATGAACCTTCAACCATTCCCTTGAACTCATATTGAACTGCTGTCTAAAGGGTACCGTACCCGCAACACTGCGTGTTAGGTAGACTATATACATCAGAGTTGCCTTTCTATTAGTTGTCCTCAACCTTTAATTCCTCCAAAGACTTCTCGACCAACCTCTCAATCTGTCTCCACCTCTTCAACACCATCTCCCCCGACGGCCCACAGCCCTCCAACTCCCCAATCGCCTCCATACACCTTTTCAGATACTTCTCCAACACCCTTACCATAATCCGATCCACCATTTTTTGCACCTCCTCCCCCCCATCCTCTCCCTCATCAACCCACCTCTCCCATTGACCCCTCGACGTGCACAGTAGCATCAATGCCACTCTGGTCCTATAACACCCCGTCAAATTCCTCTCATCAATCAAATACTTGCCCAAAAAGTCCCTCCCGTCCAACCACTTCTTTCTTGCGGTTGACATTTCTTCCAGGACCACCTCATCAATACAAACCTCATCCCACTTATTCTCCTCCGGACAAAACCCATATTCCACCATCAAAAAGTCGTTCGAGTGCGTCCCGTAGCAAATATACACCTCCTCCCCCTGTTTATACTCCCTATCCGCCGAAATGGTATAACACCCCGTATCAAACACCACTTCACACCCCTCATCAGAATGATTGAGCAAATCCGCCACCGGCTGCAGAGCCATCTTGTCATCCTTTGTCAGCCGCTCCGTCGCGGGGGTTTCATGGTAAAACGTTCTCGTGTTGACAAGCAGCCAATGATACAGGAACTCCTGCTTGGAATATCGACCCTTGGGAGAGAGAGACAGTTTTGGAAGGAGGACATCACGTGTCAACTGCCAATCCTTTTCGAATTTGGCTTTTTGCTTGGTCAAGTGAGCGCGGGCTGCGTAGGGGAGGAGGGAGTGTAGTTTCTCATGGTCGGATGTTGGCCAGGCTAGTGGGAGGGTGGACAGGATATCGTCACGAGTTGGGACCACGGCGTGCCAGGGGGCGTATTTCTTCTTGATGGTGGGGGTCTCGAGGAGTAGCTCTGCTGCGAGGAGCGCATGGACGGGGGTTCCTTTGTATTTGGGGGCTGGTGGAGGGAGGGCCTTGCGGATTTCGGGGCGGACGGTTGTGAGGGTGCGGAGGGAGGCGGCGGGAACGTATATGAGGCGTTCATTGGCCTAGGAGAGGTTAGCCTGGTGTGTATAAAGGGAGGTAAAATGCGTAGACGTGAGGAGGAAAACTGTTTGCTTATGTGAGGGCCTGAAAAATGGTAACACGTCTGAAGATAGTCGACTGGGCTCAAATGCTACATGCCAATCGACAATGCTTAGAAACCAATCGACCCGTATGGCTGTTACACCTTTGTCTTCTCAGCCATGATGTTAGGAGGTCAGTGAATAGTACCTTCAGGTCTTTCGAAGCCACAATGCCAATTCCTCTGCCGGGTATCCTCTTGGCCTCGATACCGTGAACCTCGATCCCTTGCTTGCTGGTCCAGCGGAGAAGTTCGTCGTAGGCCTCCATGTTGATGAATTGCGATGGCTACAACGTGTAAGTGAGAAAGTTTGGAATGCCAGGGGCTGAAATGCTTTTTGCATTGATGCTAACAAACTAGCGAAAAGAAAGGGAACGTGAAACAATCACATAAACATGCACCTGGGTTTTCCCGACTAGCACCGAACACATTTCCATATCCCTTTGCTCTTTTCGTCAATACCTTACGGCCTAGAATCGCCGGTTCAACCATGAATTCGGGGGGTCTTGTCTCAGTCCGGAAGTCACCCAGAATCGCTCCACAAGTCCACATGTTAGCAAAACCTTATCGCTATCACCACTTGGATCCTTATCGATAAAGACACCCCTGTCCTACTTTCCGGAGAGCTTCGGACAGCTCCCGATATCGAACCACCCGTCCCCGACCTCACCGATTGCGCCGGCTGGAGTCCAGTATGCGCATTTGGTTCTACACCTTCAACCCGCCATGGAGGTGACACTCAAACGATCCGCGGCCCTCGCCCGCCAAACCACTCCCCTCCTCCGACCCCTCCGACCCGTCGCAACCTACCCCTCCAACAACAACAACAACAACAACCCCACCCCCCAGCAACGCCGCCCATACTCCCTCTTTTCCTCCCTAACCCGCCCACCACCAAACTACCCAGGCCATGTCCCCCTCTCCTTCGTCGAGAAAACCGCCCTGGCCATCGGCTCAGGCCTCATCTCCCTCAAGAACCCCCGCCGAGGCGACCTGATCGCCACCTTCGCCGAGACAACCTCGACTCCCTACTTCATCTACCGCCTCCGCGACGCCATGCTCTCCTCCCCCACCGGGCGCCGCATCCTCCGCGACCGCCCCCGCATAACCTCCACCTCCCTCAACCTCCCCTACCTCCGCTCCTTGCCCCCCAACACAGTCGGCCACACGTACATCTCCTGGCTTGACCGCGAGGGCGTCTCCCCCGACACCCGCTCGCCAGTTCGCTACATTGACGACGAGGAATGCGCCTATGTCATGCAGCGATACAGGGAATGTCACGACTTTTACCACGCCTTGACAGGACTCCCCGTTGTGAGGGAGGGTGAGGTGGCGCTAAAGGCGTTCGAGTTTGCGAATACGTTGCTGCCGATGACGGGCCTGAGCGTGTTTAGTCTTGTGGGGATGAAGAAGAAGGAACGGGAGAGGTTCTGGGGCGTGTATGGGCCTTGGGCGGTGAGGAATGGACTGAGGGCGAAGGAGGTGATTAATGTTTATTGGGAGGAGGTTCTCGAGAAGGATGTGGGGGAGCTGAGGAAGGAGTTGGGGGTGGAGGTGCCGGCTGATCTGAGGGAGATGAGGAGACGGGAGAGGGAGGAGAAGAAGAGACGGGAGGCGGCGGCGAGGGGGTAGATGTGTACTATTATGGTTTTTTTGTGTGATTGTATATATATGACTGTATGAGCATTGTGAGATTCAAATCATCATCAATTTTTGTTGAATTCGCAAACAATGCCGTCGAGGCAAAACCGAATGGATATCATTATCATCACCCCCCGCCGTCTCTCTCTCCTTGTCCCCCCTTAAAGATCAAACAAGTCATCATCATCATCCTCCCACCCCTTCCTCCTCGCAACAACAATCTTCTCCTCCTTCTCCGTGTCCGCCACCGCATTCAACAGCTCCTTCAGTTGTTCTTCCGTCACCTTGGACCGCAACTGCCCCGTCTGAGCGAGCATGATGAGCCTGTTCTCGACGTCGGTCGCGCGCTGCTCTTTGACTAGTCTGATTCGCCCCAGCCGGTCGGCCGCTTCGGGGTGGAGGATCTGGTTGAGGATGGACTTGCGGGCTTCGGCTTCGACTTCTTTGCTGGGACCTGCGTTACCACCACCGCCAGCTTTGCCGAGGGAGGAGGGGCCGCCGCTTTGGGATTTGAGCTGTTCGAGGCGAGCCTTACGGATCTGTTTGACGGGTAGGGGGGTTAGTCGGTTGATGCGATGGTGGGAGAAAGGGATAAAAGGGTACCTTTTCGAGCTCGGCGTCTTCCATTTCGGCAGTGGTTTGATATGGATTCGGGTTGGTTATGAAGCTGTAGGTATGTAGAGCGGGCAAGGATGCGAATGGTATGATGCCAGGGTTTGGGGGGGTGGTAGCAGCGTAGCAGTTTATCGCGATCGCGGGGTCAAAAGATTTTGGTGGGGTTCAATCACCCAAGCCATTAATACGTAAAAGTCAATTAGGTATACCAGTTGCTCCCAACAGCTGTGCAGTTGAGGCACCTTATGAAACAACTCTAAGGTATTGCAAGGTTTTAACCAGTAGAAACCCAATTCATTGCTATTTAAACCCCCCTATATGCAGTGTGTAAACCCCTTTCCCCGTTTTAACATCTAACCTCCCAATTGTTGTGTATGTGCACACAGTTATACCCAATATACAATGCAATAATATACATTTTAATAATTTGTACATGACCCCCTTTTGACGCCCTACTACCCTTCAAACCTAAGAGCGAACTCACAGTTGAAAAGGTATCTGCATGTTCTGCCTGTCCATCTGGATCTTTTGCTTGGCCTTGACCTCGGCAATGAGCGAGTTGAGATTCTCGACCCGCAACCCCAGCTGCCGACCACGCTCGACAAAGTAGCCAGTCTGGTAATCGATATCGGTAGCCCAGCCCCGAGCCACATTCGACCGCATCCTCGAGCTGGAAGTCTGCTGTCTCACCAGCTTGTGATAAATCTCCTTCCTCAACCTCTGTGTGACAGTCAACCGAGAGAAGTCTGGAGAGTCTCTGACCTCTGGGAGTCTGGAGATTACCCCACAGAGCTCACTAAGAAGCTGGTCCATGACCAGCCTCGCGTACGCATTCTTCGGCAGCTTATCGTAGGTGCTGTCGAGAACAACCGTCAGAGGGTCCACAATGGATCGGAAGACAATGGTTGGCAACGCCTTCTTGAAGAAGTCATCCATGGGGAAGCCTGCCGCCCGCAAGTCGGGTATCACAGTCAGTGTCCTCAGGAGGCGCGTTGGCTTCAACGTGTGCTCGATCGGCGGGTGGCGAACGATGCGGACACCGGACTGCTGAATCTGCTGGGGGTAAATTGACATGCGAAGTCTGCCCAGCTCGACTTCCTCCACCGAGAATTGCTCGCCCGTATAGCCCAACTTTCCAGTGAATTGTCCAAGAATAAAAGTTGGGCGAGTAATGGACGAAGGATAATACGTCTTGATGAGGTCCTCGACGACACCCAAGCCATCATTAATCAGGACAATGGTGGACCTGTGATCGAGCCTGTGCTTGATCGGCTCCAAAATCCGAACAACGTCAGCGGCTGGAGTGGTGATTATCAGATTACTGATGAGGCTTGGTAGCGCATATTGCTTCGGACTCGTATAATCGCCGCCTTGGTTGAAATTCACAGCGATGATCCGATTGGTGGTGACCATCTGGTCGCCACGGTAAAGCGTCAACTTTCGATCATTCTGCTTGAAAACATTGTGTACACCAGGGGTGTGCATCACATAGCGCACCGGAGGGATGTGGTCGCAGCTGGCCAAAATATGCGTGATGTAGCGGCCAACAGGGTCAAGTCCCATAACATGGATGTGTTCTGACGGTGCTAGATCGTCTGCCGGCACAGGCGTAAATTCCGGCACGGCTTGTTCTTGTTGGTCCCACATCGCTATTCGAGATAGGATTCGGTTCGACTCTGCTACCACGTCTTGTTCTTGGACCTCTTGATCCGTAGGTGCCACTCTAACCTCGGCCTCCTTTATGTTCTCGTCATGGTCGGTTGTCTGGCTAGTTGGTTCTTTGTGTTCCTCAATGTCGGCCTTTTCCGTTTCGACAACAGTCGCAGAGGGTTCCTCCATCTCGCTCGGTTTGAAAGGCTTCGCTGCTGGAGGTATTTTCAGTCTTCCGGCGGCGAAAGGGCCGGGCCGCATTCCAAGATGTGTTGGGAGAACAGCACGCTTCGCATAACGTGGTGGCGGTTCCGAAGAAAAAGGCGCTGGGCGTCGTCTGTGGTCTGTATCGGGCTCAAATCCTCGCCCAGGCGGGGACTTTGACGATGCCCCTCTCCGTAACCGTGGGCTGGCCCCCCGGCCCGCCAAATGGTTATTGAGAAACCATGGTGTGTGTCTGCAGGATATTTGCGCAAACACCCGCAGCTGCGGGCGGGTGCCCAAAAGGAGATACAGGTTGCCGGTGTTCACGGAGACTGCGGAGATCGCATGGTAAGTCGTCGCAATCTCTGGGAAGAGACCCGTCGCAGGAAGCTCGCGCTGTCTACGACATGCGGCACGGCATTGAGTGAGTTCGACGACGTATGGCCTGAATAGGGCTTTGGAGAGCTTTTCGCCGTAGAGAAGTGCTTAAGCAATGTCGTGCTGGTGTCTCCGATCCAGAAATTGGTTTATCGTGGCGTGCTTGTCGTGGGCGTCGTGGAGGTGGGTGGGCTCAAACTTTTTTCGAAGACGGCGCAATTCGGCTTGGACTTTGAAGAAGTCAGAAAAATAAAATCTTCTGGAAGCTGATTGGCTGGCCGGTGCTAGGACCCCGTCATCAATTGCTGGGCCATAGAGCCCCACCTTGAACAACCCGACTGCAAGGCAAATCCCATGTTTTGTAACGGGCACTACCGGCACAAGCTTCAAGAGCTCAGGAACAGCTCATTGATCTCATGGGAATCTCAAGCTTTGGTTGCAAAGTAGTTTGAATTGGGACGAAGTCATTATTTTCCAAAACATCACACATGGAGGGCAAAACCCCCGCATATCCCATGTAAATCGTGCTGTGAGGGGCAGTCTCATACATCTCTAGAAACGAAAGCTAGAAGTCTGATCTAACCCGACCCTGTGCAACTAGAGACAGCGTTCCAGCATAATAATACATGGACTTGCAGTTTTGCAGTTGTGAGGTCTCAACCCTTAGGGACCTGCCGACCCTTTCCTAGCTTCTTCCACAGCTACAAAAGCTCATGATAAGCGAAAAGCGCACCTCGAGGCCATCAAAAAAAGAACAAGTCAAAAGTTTTGAATTGGCTAATGCACAGGGGTGTGTATGGACACTGGTACAACAAAGGGAATCTCGATCTGGGTCAAAACTCGACTGGGGTAGCTATTTAGCTGTTTATTGCTTGGCGGAAACGATCTCTGCAATATGTTGTTAGCAACAGCTCGTTCCAAGCACGGAGATCTGAGCCAACTCACTCTCAACATCGGCAACGCTCTGCTGGAGAATCTGCTGGAGGGTCTTGGGATTCTCAAGCTCCTTCTGGACCTTGGCGATGATGGTGGCAGCAAGCTCCTTCTGCTGGCGCTGCTTGACCTGGCTCTCGTAACGCACCCACGAGTCGAGAACAGTCTTGGCCTCAGCGGCAAGGGCAGTGCGCTGCTCGAGCTCATAAGCCTCAGCCTCGAGCTTGGCAGTCTCCTGTACACGGCATCAGCACCCATTCCAGCTCTTCCCTGCAAACATAACCCAGCTATCCTACCTTGGAGACGGCGAAGAGGCTCTTCGTGACGTCAATGACGCCGGACATCTGCTGGACGTCCTCGATGCGGGTCTTGACGGCCTGGGTGTGGTCGGCGCGGGCCGAGTTGAGGATATCGAGGATCTTCCTGTTCTGACCCTCAGCCCACTCCTTGTAAGCGGGACCGCCGAACTTGATCAGGGCAGCCCAGACGCTGAGAAGGCAGAAGGCGACGACGGTCTCCTCGTTGACGACATAGTACTCGTTGCTCAGGGCATAGATCGAGAGGCCGGTGAAGGACGAGAGGATGGCCGACTTGGAGAGGAGGTTGCTGCCGGGAAGCGCATCGATGAGGGACTGGGCCTTGGACTTGGGGTCCTGGGCGGGGACACCGGAGCTGTTGCGCGCCGCGATGGCGGTCGAGAGGGCGGGCAGAGCGCGGGGAGCGATGCTAGGTCGGAGACGGGCAGCCCCTGCGGCGCTCGGTGGTCAGTCACTTTGTCATTGCCGTCTCAATTGGCGCCTCGCAGGCAACTGTTGGCCGGTCTCGAACTCACCGAGAGCACTTCTCGCCAAGCGGGAGGCCATTGTGAATATGGGAATATCGGGTGGGTGACGGCTCGACGTTGACGGAGCTCTCAAGTGCCAAGTGCGAATTGAGGTTTTAACGAAATGCGTACTTCCCGGCTCTTTGCCGTAGAGCTCGGGGTCACGTGCCAGCGCAGCTGATGTTGAATTCTAAGTTTGGCCTTGCCAAGACCCGGTGCTCCGGATCCCTGCTGTGAAATTTCCATTTTCCAACAACCCACTGCTCCATTGCGACAGCCCCACTTAAATTTTCTGGAGGACATGACCGCGAAGCAGCACTGAGCAGGGAATTTGGAGGAAACAAGCAACAAGAGCGGGAAATATTGCGATTGAACCACATAAAAGATGGCAGCAGCTACCAAGGAACCGTCGTCGGCCTCGGCCGGGAAGAGGAAGCGTCAAGAGAATGGAGACAAGAGCAAGAAACGGAGGAAATCCGGCGGCGACGAGGGTGTCGATCTCAAGGCCCAACTCAAACAGCTCGAAGCCGAGATCCTCGAGTCCAGAAAACACTACAACAACATCGCTACTCTCCTCGAACTTGCGCAAAAGAACGACGAGGATCGCCCCACCGCCATCGCCGCCTCAGAGACACTATGCCGCGTCCTCGTGCGGTTACTTGCCATGGGCTGCTTGGTGGAGAGAAAGGAAGCGTCAGAGAAGGATGCGACAGTCACAAAATGGCTTCGGGAGCGCCTAGCAGACTTTAGAGAAGTCTTGTTACGCATGTTCAACAATGAGAAGTTGGCACTCCCAGCTTTGTTGTTGGCCATGTCTCTCCTCAAAGTCGAAGCTCAGCACCTTGACGGCCGGGACCAACCCGCCTTCCCACGATACTTCTTCACCCAAGTGATATACTTCATCATCCAGTCACCAGTCGAGCAACTACGGGAAGAGTTTACCGAGAAGTTCATCGACGAGTTTAACGACATTAGATTCTACACCTTCGCAGCCATCAGTAAATTCCTTAGAGACCCCTCCGCCGACCTCGACGAAACAATCCGCGCCATAATCTTCAACCTCCTCCTCAACATCGATGATGTCCCCTCCTCCAACAAAGATCTCGACACCTTCTACATCGAACCCCCAACCACCAAGAAAAGGCACCCCGTCCGCTCCCTCTCCCAACACAAAAGTCAAGCCCAAGACGCCTGGCTAGCCCTGATGCAACTCGGTCTGAGCAAAGACCAGCGCAAGAAGATCCTCAGCGTCATGTCCAACTCTATCGCGCCCTGGTTCACCAATCCAGAACTCCTGATGGATTTCCTAACAGACTGCTACAACGCCGGCGGGTCCATCTCTCTACTGGCCCTCTCTGGTGTCTTTTACCTCATCCAGGAACGAAACCTCGACTACCCAGAGTTTTACACCAAGCTCTACTCCCTGCTAGACGCAGACATGCTCCACTCCAAGCACCGCTCCCGCTTTTTGCGGTTGCTTGATACCTTCCTCGGCTCATCACATTTGCCAGCGGTAATGGTGGCGAGTTTTATCAAGAAGCTGGCCAGGTTGGCACTCAACGCGCCCCCGAGTGCGATTGTGGCTATTGTGCCTTGGTTTTACAACTTGTTCAAGAAGCACCCCCTGACAACATTCATGATGCACAGGGTGCCGAGGACGGAGGAGGAGAAGCAGAAGATTGAGGAGGGAGGGGTGGAGGATGTGTTTTTGGCTTGGGAGAGGGATCCGATGGAGACGAGGGCGATTGAGAGTTGTCTTTGGGAGGTGGTGCAGCTGCAGGGGCATTGGCATCCGAATGTGGCGACGATTGCGAAGATTATCAGTGAGCAGTTTACCAAGCAGGCGTACAATATGGAGGACTTTTTGGATCATAGTTATGGGAGTGTAAGTGTCTTTTTCTTGATTTGGGGGTGGTTGTGGGAAAATGGGGTAAAGATGCTAACATATTTGGGTAACAGTTGTTCGAGGCGGAGATGGGCAAGGAGATCAAGAAGCCGCCGGTGGTGGAGTTTATGATCCCGAAGAGGGTGTTTACAAAAGTTACGGAGGAGGAGGAGAAACAGGGGCTGAAGGATTCGCTGGTGGTGGGGTTGTGGGATTTTGGGACGGCGTAGATGGGCGAGATGTGAGGCTGTTGCTAGGTTCGAGATACCATCACGATGAAGATACCATACTTGAGAGGTAGTAATTTAGCAGGTTACTATTGGTTCCGAGCGTTCATTTGCTTATTGTTATTCCTACCTTACTCGCATCACGGATTTTTACCCTTGGCAGGGGTGGTTATCCATGATGGGCTGATGAAGCAACGTGAGGACGTCATATCATCCTTGTTTGTGTAAGACGAGACGATGGGAAGGGGTTGCTCGGGAGGGAGGATACATCAACAGCGGAGGGGAAATGGGCGTCGTCCGGCCCGTTTGTGCGAGCCTGTTGTGATAGGGGTGAAGAGACGGGCGGACAAAAAGATGAATGACAGTCGTATTCGCGGTTCCCGTCTTTGCACGGGTTTGGTTGTACATTATTACTTCACTCTGGTGGGGGGAGATGCAGGGATAAGTTGGTGTAGACAATCAACCATTGAGAAGGTTTGTTTGTTAGGATGTGTGTAAAGCCAGTTTCTGGGCTTGGAATGTGGACATTAGCTCAGACGGCGGGTTTTCACGGGTAAAGGACCAATAATCAAGTGATCAAGTCGTGACCTGAAATCCCACTGCAGCTTGTCTTCTGCTCGATATTCGTGTGGTCGGGATTCTTATCATCGAGCCACAGTTGTGATGCTGTGGTATGTTTCCCCGAGCTGAAAGACGGAGCAGAGGTATCCTATGCAACCTGGAAGATCACTTAAACCACTATCCTCCCTCTTTTGCTTTCGAAAGACCTCTTCGCGATGAGGTGATACACAGCAAACCTTAGCCTACCTCGGTTGCCGGCTCTCACCACTACGACACGATGAAAAAAAAAATTCTCCGTAAATAAGAATGGATGTCACACGCGTCTACCAGCTGCCACTTGCCAATCCTACCTCATATGGATGTTCTTCAACCATGTTTGAGTTACACATGGAAAGGATATCAAAAGATACAAGCCAGGCTCAAAGTGCAAATATGACACAGGCTAGGTAGGTTAAACCAACTATACTAAGGAGAAAGAGTGGTTCAGTCACAGCGTGTGAAGGTCATTGCTGCAAGCAAGCATGAGCGCTTGTCAGCCATGGGACGGATAGCGGTGGACCAGTAACCCCCTGGCTAAGGTAAGGGGGTGACAACAGACCGAGGTTGTGTGACTTGATGATCAACGTGAACACAGAGCTATATTCTCGTTCCCACTTAGGACTGCAGACAAGTGTTCTGTCAGAAATATCTTTGTCAGGTGGTGTCCAGAAATGAAGATAGAGCTGACAGTATGCTTTGGCAGGTATCTCAAATTCCTTCCTTTTTATCCTAGGAGTTATTGGATCCGGAGCCTTTCCTGAGTGGCGTCCCTCTATCATCATCACACAAGCAACCAGGGAAAGCTTGTGCCAGGTGTGCGCCTACAAACTAAAAACGGCGAAGAGCGCAAATCGGAGTCTAGATCTCAACCTTACAAGGCCAAGCAAACCAAACCGGCGTGCAAGTTCCACAGACTATTTCCCGTCTTTCATCGTGATGGGTTGTGGCAGGCAAAAACAAAAACGGTAGACCTGCCCCCATCCCAAACATAGCCACAAGAGAACCCCAAAAAGGAGAATATACCACAACAGGTTGCAATCCAAACCGGTCAAAACATCCCGACGCCGGACGATCATGGCAGGCGAGCAGCCAATCTGTTCTCGGGATGTAGACCTCAGTACGCCCCCTTTAATATCGAGTCGAGAAGATTGGATGGTCCTGATTATGGGAAACCAGAACCGTGTAATCCACACATGTAACTGTTGTGGTCTGGTGGTAAAATGTCATCAGGATCGGGGAAGCGTTGTGGCAGCTGCTCATGCGGTCACAGTGTAAGAGCTCCTTTGGTCTGGGGCTGCCTGGGTTGGTTTCACCTCGTGCTGTGAGATTGATTGATCACTGCTCACTGACCACAAGAACTAGCTTAGGGAGGGGAAAGTCAGGAGCACATCCTATCATGAAGTTGACCGATTGACCCTTAAGGCTGTGTACAAACGCCAACTGCTCGCTAGTTTGACTTACCATGAGGAGGCTGTGTGTGTGTTAGCAGCCCTTGATAGTATCGAGTTCCATTCCATCTTCTCCTTTACTTGAAAAACCGCACAAGCGCTGAGGCTAAGCTGATGGCCGCGTTGCACGATGGTCAAAGGAGGCTCTGAAGTCTGCATGCATGTAAGTAAGCGCCAGGACCTGTCTACCTGTCCGAGTTCTTCTCTCAAGCCAACTTGCATGGGATGGGTCGTTGGGCGGTCTGACATGGCTGTGAATGGTTCCTCCCGCTGCACGAGCGATGTCATCCTATCCTTCTGATATGTTTATAGATATGAGATCTTTTCACGCAACAGGCTGCCATCTTCATCACCTTACTCTGGGCTGACGCCTGCAGAGATAGTACCTGACTCGCTTTTTCGACAGTATGGTATACTGTTGGTGGAAATCCATGACTGAAATACCTCCCAAAAGAGCATACGCCGGCATCGAGATATGTGCTGCGCCATCCATCAAACCTCCGACATCTGAGTGTGAAGCCACTCTATGACCCGCTCAGCTCATCTCAGCTCACTTCGTCTCCTGCCCGCCAGCCCACCAGAGTCCTCCGTCCAGGAGAACGTCATTCGGATCTAGCGGTCAACAACACGCCGAGGGAGGAATCCATCGGATGCGCGGCTGTTTCAGAGAGCCGCGACGACGCTGTGCTGACACCGATAGCGAGCAAAGGCCATGTTTGCCAGGGGCAAAGTCATGCTTCCCAAATACTAGACATGGATGACGCTCCCTACCAAGCTTTCCCATCATACCCACAGAACTCAAACGGGGACAAGGAGGCAGGAGAAAAAAAAGTTTGCTCCCCCGGACACAGGCATGGGGACCTCGTTGACTAGAAAAACCGAGAGTCTGGTTCGGCTCTCTGCGAGTAGCGTGTTGGTAACCGTTTTGATCCCCGGTCTCTGCACCGGCGGTGTGTATGAAAATTCGCATGGTTTATCGATCGATCCCGTCTTCTCCGTGATTCTTCGCGAAGGCCTGCGGGGTGCCGTTCTTCACCCGGAGACTGCCCTGAGACCGAAAAAACTCCAATCCGGTGGCTTCAAACTCTGACTCGTGTTACAAACATCGACCGACACAAAAGACTTCAAGAACGCCCGCTCCAGGAAACTCGTGATATCGCCGCACGGTCGGCCTGTTCGCAGCCGCACCAAGATCGGCGATATGGGTAGGGTGTGCAAAAGCCCATAGTCAAAAATCCACAGTCCGGGCGGGCAGGGGGATTTGCGATTCGCGGGTTCCTTGGCGACCAGGGGTAAAACGTGCCGACCTCCTCACCGCTACTCATTGTCTGCTGAGATTCTGGCTGTAGATTTCCGTTTTCCTGGATCTCAAATGCATCTAAAAGGGGATTTTCAAACGTCTTCCAGGCAGAATGTCGTAATGTCTCCGTTTCTGCACAATTTTCGGTGAACAAAAACTCCGTAGCAGGTTTTTCCCGTGGCCTAGATCAACAGCTTGGCCCTGCATCTGTGATGTAGGATAGAGTAGGTGCTTTCACTAGGACGATGAAGCTGAACTTCAACACCGCCCTTGACACCGCGAGAAAGACGCCGACCCAAAAAAATAAAAATTAGACACCGCCTCTGTCCCTCTTTTACCCCTCCAAAACATCAGCCGGTCTCCCCCTCTTTACCCCCCTAATGTGATGTAATGCAAAACAGAGACCAAGCAACACCGCTGCTTACACCACCTTAGTCTCGCGTCTCGTGCCCATGTTGCGTGCTACTATGATGCAGCAACCCGGACCAAGCAGTGGCGGCGGACCCAAAATGTCCTGATAGTCCTGATAGAGCCTGTGGATTACTGCACCCTGCACACATCGAGTGACCCAGACTTCCGGATCGAGGTCCAGCATCCGCCTCTTGAAGCACCAGGTTCCACCAGAAATCTCCAAGACGATGCAGCTCTCGAAAGTCTTGACCGTGATAGCTGCATTATGCCATTCCCTTCTCAGCGATGCCGGCCGAGAATGAGCCCGTCCGTACGGCCCTCAGTCGTCGGATCCCGAACCATGCGGAAGGGAGGAATAATAATGCCTCGGAGCGGCGGGGTATGTTTTGGAAAATCTCTCTTCTCTGCAACGCCGAGGCAGCATCGTGACCTTTTCACCGCTCAACTGTGCAATATCCCAACTCTTGGCGTCTTCGGAATGGCTGCACCTTGCTTGTCTGGAGGCATTCTCTGCTGCTTCTAGTAACAGAATGGGTAATCCGACGGAGACGCGGTGGAGCAGAGCAGAGGGAACAGGGAACGTGCCACTTTGGCGTCATGTATCGTGCGACTGTGAATATCTTCAAGATTTTCAACCATCCAGAACACTGGCCGAGAGCGGAACGGATGCGCGTGTTGGTGATAGGCAAGGCAGAAAGACTCAATTCTGGTTATGGCGTAGCAGATTTTGTGTAGGAGATAGAGGAGCAACACGAAACAGTGTGCGACTGGGGCAGGAAGTTGATGATGTTCTGCCATCGGCGAGATCAACCTATGAGTCAGTCACGTTTTTTGCTGAGGGGTCTTTTCCGCGACTGGCGAGAGAAAACCTGCCCCAGATATCGACGACGAATAGGATGGTTGCTACGGTCCCCGAAAAGGGGCCTAGATAGTCAACTTGCCACAGGCATGCGTGCAGACCTGCTCAAAACCAGTATCCTGATGGGCTCGTATGGGCAGACCGGACAGACGTTGGGCAGTGATCGTCAACTGCTTGCTTGTGGGAGTGCATATGTTGAGATATCGATCCGACACAAAGGGACCGCCTCGCTAGGTTGCATATTGGGCCTTCTTTCATCGCAACGCAAGATATTGCCTGCATAACGACGGCTGCAGATGCTCAAGCAAGCCGGGAGCGTGTCCGCTCCTGACAGTCCCGTCATATGGACGAATTGCGGGCAGGTCTGACGGGCAAATCCCATGGTCTCTCAAACCAGAGCTGGGCGTGGGACCCGAAGCTGAAAATCAACAAATGATAGCTTTGCTCGTGACAAAAACAAAGAGTCCTTCGTCTCTGCATGGCCTGGGCCCCTAAAGGATTATGAGGGGCACTTCCCACAACGTCGGGACGGTGGCTTAGTGGGAAGATAATGAGCCCCCAGAACTGCACGATCGCCTCAAGGTGGTGATTGGCCGTGTCCGGTCCGCTGCCGCATCTCTCAACGGGCCCGCAGCAGGCGCTTCCGCTCCGGAACGCTGCTGTCGTCCCACACTCGTCGTCCCGATAGCAGGGCAGGAATCAAAACACCGAGAAATCTGCCTATCATCTCGAACCGCACATGTGTGCGGGCAAAGCATAGGCAGACTGATAGAGCCAGAGCAAAGACCAAGTGCTGATGGCACCTCAGGAAGGGCACGGCGGGGACTGCTCTTGCAGTAGCTCGCCGGGGAAGCCCTCCAATCCGCCTAGTTGTGTTGATCTCACAGTTAGCTGATGGCTCATCACTTGGTTCGGGGTTCATGTTTTCATGGCAGCCGACCAAGAGCCTGTAAAGTGAAGTGAAGTGTCGCCGTCACCACTGCAGACAATCGATTGGGTGCCATGCCTGCCGGCTGGCTGCCGATGATGCTCTGAGACGCGAAACGCTGCTGACACCTGACAGTCAACCACTGAGGCTCGAGAGCACAAGTGAGCAAAAGTGTGAATAGGGTGGGTTTTCGTGCATCGTTCGCGACAGGCTCTGGATCCGATAGACGCGCTCCTCCGCGCGTTAGAGAATAGAAACAGGCCGACGGTTGGGCAGAGACGAAGGACTCTTTGTTTTGGGTCGAGATGGCGCGGGCCTCGAGATATGCGGCCGGGTGCACAAATGCATCTGGGCAGCTCTCGTGAGTGGCCAGCTTCCCTTCCGCACCTGCGGGCTCGCCGTCTAGTGGAGACGACGCGCTGCAATCCAAACCAAACTCCAAAATACCAGCCACCGACTTTTTACCATTCCATCCATCCATCCATCCATCCGTTTTGGCCTGGTGTCTTTCTATTTGCGTTTGGACTGCCGCCAGGCTGTAGGCTGCGGGCCGCGACTCGGGCGCGGATAGAACGATATGCTTCGATATCAGATGCTGGCCATCGAAGCAGGGCGCGTGGAGACCGTTCGAGGTGATACAGAGCACACAATTGGACTGTGAAGTGTCAGTCGGGGCGTGGAGATGCTGTGTAGCGGCGAGGGGCGCGTTTTAGGATGCTGAATGGAAGAATCGAAGGTGAGAAAACCGGGGAAATGAGCATGCCTTCTCGAATCTCGGCCAGGCAGGCAGGCTGTCGGCACAAGTGCACCCTGGCAGGTCAGGTGACCGTACCGTTATCAGACAGACGTTGTAAGCGACTGACCATGATTGGAACCGCGGAGCTTCACAGATGGTGCCGCAAAGGGACCCAGAGACTTCCGTTCTCGCTACTTCCCGTTTATCCACAACCGTTCGTCCAAAATGGTCTCTTTTTCTCTAGCCTTCAGATTCTCCAGACAGAAGACGGCATCCACGCCTCGTGGCCCTCATGCTTCTGCCGCGGAGCAAAGAGCTTGGCGGCACCCCTTGAAGCTGAAGACGATGACGAGAACCTGTTCGCAGTCGCACGAAGGAATCCCATGCCTGGTGACAGTACCCTGACGCCATTGACGAATTGTTTGTAGTGTAGGCGCTGCGATATTTACTTGTCCCCCGCGAAAGCACCACCACGGCCTACTGTGTGTATCACCAACACCCCGCGCAAGAATAGCCTCAAGGGTTCTCAATGCGTGCTAGCTACTAGTACCGCTAGGCCAGAACCTCCGCGGCGCCATGTCGTTCCAGATTTCATATCTCGATGTCTTGATCACAGTCGCCGTCGCCATCATCTTCAGCGCTACTGTCATGGCATCACCCCACCTCTGACCCCTCCGAGCAATAGGATAGTCCGCCTTGCCGGAGCCATCAGATGGTGATGCCCAGAAAACGGGGGGTCACTCTCACGGGGGCACACTCTCTGCTCACGAGGTTCGAGCGAGCCCTGGCAAACCCGTTTTGGGGGTGTGGGAGAAGCTGCATGTCTGCGGCAGACGACTGGTTCTGCAAGCACTTTGGGTATCGATGCCATATGGCCATCGCTGCCCAACCTGTCGAGGCGGTCCTTCACAACCACTCGTTCGCCCAATCCAATCATGAGAACAGCGTCTCTGCCGCCCACCCTTCAGCGGCCCTCTCCCCGGGTACTCAGCAGTGCTGAGTCCTGTTCCCTTTTTTGCGCTCCCTTTACAGCGTCCTTCCAGCACTTTGGATGCCCATGCCGTGAAAATCGACCTATCACTCGGCTCCGGCAAAGCCCCCGCTGGAACATCGGCTGACAGAACCAGCCAGGCTGGACAAAGCTGGGGCGGCTTCCCAGGAAGAAGCCCGGGTCCGGCAAGCGATCACTGATTTGATATCAGATGCTACGGTTTGCGTGCCCGAGACTGGCCGCTATCCCCACTTGATATCTTCCTCTTTTCATACAGTCCTATTTGGGAGGTTCCCTGGCTCCGTTCGACTGGTCCACATCTCCACTCTAGCCTTCCTCTCGTTCGTTCCTGTAAACCGTTAGCATCTGCTTTGCCGTTCCAGAATGCAAGTACCGGGGCGGTCACAAGAGGTACCCTTCCGAAACGGACTGTGAGAGGGGCAGAGGGCATCACCATCAGTCAATCGCAAGGCCGGTTGGTCTGGTGAGCTTCTTCCCTGGTTTGCGCCGTTGCGCTTCCCGCCAGGCAGGTTTCTTGTCCGACGCTCAGTCTGCCTTTTTCCTGGTTGCGTTTCCGGGAGTTTTCAGAGAGAGTACTTTGGACCCCCCGGCACGTTTGGGTGGTCCTTCAAATCGGATCTCTCTTCGCTACACTCCCCAGCCTCGAACACACACCCCCACAATGCACCACCCCCCTCCCCTCCCTTCCCCCTCTCCGAAAAAAGTCTCCCCCATGCACATGCCCCCCTCTCCGCAACATCCACTCCCATGTACCACAGCCGTCTGCACTCCCATCACTCTTCAATTGGGCAAAGTCGGGTACGTACCCTGGGCTGCTCTGTTTCGGCGCTCGCAGAGAGTCGGGCCCTGATCACCTTCAAGTACATAACATAGAGGGAAGGGACAACCCACTTTCATCCCACTCTCTCATCCACAATCCTCATTGGTCATCATTGAACATTGTATGGCTCCTCCTCGTCCTTCACCAAGAAAGCAAGATCGAGGATCTCTACCATTCGTTTACAACACCCACACCCACCAACCATTCATCGCCAAGCAGACTGCCAGTCAAAGTCTTAGATAACCCCCTCCTTCCAAGAAAAACGACAGTGTGATCTTGGATCACCAAAGAGTGAGTGGAACATTTCGGCTTCTCTCTGCATGCCCAAAGGGGCCCCCCCCCCCTCCTCCGACCCCTCCATGGATCACAACATGAATTCTTGGTTCTCTTAAACCTGCCCACCCCTGCCTCCCGCTCTTCTTCTAGCACATCCCCCACAAAGCCAGTATCAATCCTCCTCCACTTGATCTTCTCTCTCATATCTTCTCACCTTTCTTCTCGACCTCCTACAACAACAACACCACCTAACACTCCCTCCAAGCCCTCTTCACACAACCACCCCAACAGTTCCGCTTGAATGTCAGAAGTCTGAAAATTCTACCCGGTATGCATGATCCTGAGCGGGATTTTTTCCTGGTTTCTTTTTCTCCGCATATCCATGCCGCCCTGAGCCTCCCTTGCTCTCAGACCCCCAACACCTCCCCGAAATAAAAAGCGGTGGCTTCGCCCTCACCGCTCCCCGGTCCGCTCAACAACTAACACAAACATATAATAGGAATTGGTCCACACACTTCTTAATATCAACACCCAACACACAAATCACAAATCACACCTGTGGCCCATCATGGTCTCAGCATTCCCAATGGACAACTTCTACAGAGGACCGTTATCAGTCGACACCAACCATGCTCAAAAATACTTTGAGGAGGAGGCTGACAGCATACTCGACGACAACATTCTTGACCAGAGCGGCATTGACTCGGGCTTCGAGAACTCCCCTTCTATGACGGATAGCAGAAGGGATTCCTTCGCAGTCGCCCCCTCGCTCTTCTCGCCAAAAACCGAGAGCTGGCAGCAAGTGGACATGCAGGCCGTCCCGTCGAACAACCCCTTCTTTGACGCTCAGAGCAACAACCCCTTCCTGCAGATGGACCGAGGCCAGCACGCCGTTTACGCGAACCAGACCTGGCCCATGACCAGCTCTGGATCCGCCACCCCTCAGATGCAGACATTCGACGGCCTCCCAGCGGAATACGACTCGGCTCCCATGAACATGTTCCCCAAGCCCAGCCCTTTCCAGGTGCAAGCGACGCCCTTTGGCAACCCCGGACCTCAGCCCGCCATGTTTCAGCAGCTCCCTCAGTCCATGCCCACCTCCCCCCACAAGGACGTGTGGATGGCCCAGGATGTCAAGAGCCAGGCCTTGAAGCGACCGCGGCCCGCCAGCCCCTTGATCCGCTCTCACAACGACTTGCGGAGGGGTGATGGCATCCGGAAGAAGAACGCACGCTTCGACATCCCCGCTGAGCGCAACTTGACCAACATCGATCAGTTGATTGCCCAGTCCACCGATGAGCAAGAGATCAAGGAGCTCAAGCAGCAGAAACGACTCCTTCGCAACAGACAGGCTGCGTATGTACCTTGATCCCCATGCAAGCGAACAATGACTAACCATCTTCACAGCCTTGATTCCAGACAACGCAAGAAGCTTCACACTGAGCGTCTTGAGGATGAGAAGAAGCATTTCACCGAGGTGATCTCCTCCCTGGAGGACACCATCGCCGATCTGCAGAGGGAGCTTGAGAAGCTCTCGATGGAGAAGCAGGACTACCAGACCTATGCCCACAACCTCGAGAGAGAGCGTGACGAGTTGATCAGCAAGCACACGATCGAATCGGGCGAGCTGCGGAAGAAGATCGGCGTCCTAACCAACCACGTGCAGTCCATGGAGGGTGCCACCTCTAACGCACCGGGCTTCCCCGGCGCTTTTAACGAGATGGACGGCATCACCATGGATGGTTCCTGGGAGAACATGCCCGTCTTTGGCGAGTTCCCCTTGGAGCAGACTGCCGAGGTCAAGCAGGAGATGCAGCTCGTCTCCACCAAGAAGCCCGAGATCGCTCTGCCGACCGACTCCGAGAAGCCCGCCCAGCCTGGCGGCCTCCTCTTCATGCTCTTCCTCGTCGGCGCTTTCGTCCTCTCGAGCCGCTCGACCCCCAGCATTCCCCGCGTGTCCGAGGATGTCCGCGCCGCGTCCGCGACCCTCCTCGAGAACGTGCTCAAGGATGCCGGCGTCAGCGGCCAGGCCCCCTCGGGGGTCGCTGCGATGGCTCCTCAGCCATCCGGCACCAGCTGGACCCAGGCCTCAGGCTCATCGCTCCCGCTTGCCACGCCGATGGTGGACAACGTCGCACCATCGATGCTCGGTGAGATGGCCGATGCCCTGACGCAGCCCACCGAACAGCAGACCAACGAGCAGATCTTCTCGCTTACGGCTGCGCAATATAATGACTTGACCTCGCAAGATTTCCTCCCTAGTGCTGGTGCCGAAAGGACTACGAGCCAGGGCAGACGCAATCTCGCCGAGGCTCTCGCCAACATGCGCAATGCCAATAAGCAGTCGGCTGCCGAGGTCTACACTCGGTCGCTGCTCTGGGACCAGGTTCCAAGCGACGTCGTCCGATCGTTTGCCAAGATGATTGCTGAGAGCAACTCTGCTCAAGCCTCCAGCGGCAACGACCGGTCATAAGCTATGGAACACCTTTGATGACGACTACACGACACGAGAGACGAGGTTCACGGCCTACGAATGACACTGCATGAAACACACACGACATGCATAGCGTTGGGCGCTTTCAGCATTTTCGGTTTTTCTTTTCCTCGGGGATGACTTTTTCTCAAACCCACCACACATACAATTCTTCCGCTCCCGCGACACACACACACACACACACAAAAACAGATATCTACCAGCTCACGCTCTCCGACATTTGTTGCTTCTTTGCGCTCTTGTGCGAACAGGAGTTGCCCGCCTTTTTTTTCTTCTCTTTTGGACATTTTCCCAGCCTGATTTTCTGCGTTGTCCTTGTATTTGGTCTTTTCGATTGGCAAAATTAGCAAGCGAGCATTGGCTTTTTTGATTTTTCTTGGACGCATCTCTACGATTAATGTTCTTTACTCTCCTACTACTTCGGACACGGCTTCTCTTTTCATATGGTATTTCCTATGGCGCTTGGTATTGGGTTGTTTCCAGCAGAGCTTTTTGCTGCGAGGTCGGCGGGCGGAACACGGCGAACATTGGCGGATTTGGATTGATTATTTTGTTACGACATCATTCCTTCTCCTTTGTACACTGGAGGATCGCCGTCGCGGGCCTGTCAGCGATGCGGAGAAATCTCTCGCAGACAGTCAGACTGGCAACACAATTTACACAACAAAATTGGGGTTGAGAAGGAAAACGGCGAGCATTTGTCCTTGTCAACATTGCGCGGGAAGCCCCTTGCGGGGAGGAAGAGCCCCGGCAACGCAGAGCCGTGCTGCGACCTGGACACCACAGTCACGACGACACCATCTTCATGAACGATTTTTATTTTCTTATGTCTTCAACACCTTCACTCGCCAGCTTTTCACAAACATGTTTTGGGCCTGCCCTCCCCGCGGTTGTCTTTCACACACCGCCGGACTTCGCAGCGCCCCCCGAGGAGGAAAATGGGTCGGAACACAGCGGCAAGGGATGGGAGTCATATCTGAGCGAGTCGCCGGTAACACGGCGATGGCTCAACTGACTTTGCATCCCTCGCAGGAGGGCGACTCTAATTGGGTAGGAGTGACAGAAAAGGGCAGTCTTCTTTTTTTTATGGTCGCATCAAGAAGTACACGCCCGACCCTGTTCACCATCGCCCACAAGCAGTCACCCCCTCCTTGCGATGCCAGAAAACGGGGACTTGATTTGACGGATTTGGGTACATATTGTGGATTTCGGTTTTTCTTTTCTTCTATACATTATTTTTTTTCGTTTTTGGATATACTTTTCACGGCCACCAGACATATATGGAATTGAACAGTGAGAGGAGGAGGGGGGGGGAAGAAGGGGGAGAGACATTTCTTTCGGACATGGTCCGGTTGTTGCTGGAACGCCCAACCATATGGATACCGCGATCGATACTCTCTTGGAATATTTCTTGTAGCTAGGACAGCGAATTAAATTTTCAGTACACCTTTTACATACTTTTACACTGCTCTGTGCCTTGGTCTTTTTTGCATTCGTGATATTCTTCGCAGTAGCTTCATCTTTTGCAGTGACTGTTCCCGTGGAGGCCTCTTCCGAGACTTGAGCTCATGCATTAGTCCCAAAGGGATGCGACCGACCGAGCTGATGACGAGTTCTGATTCTTCTCGGGTTCGCTGGATTTCGGGCTGGCTATCTACCTAGGTGGGTAGTTACCAACCACCCAACGGACCTGCCTTGTCGGCCGCTGTGGAAGTCAGCGCTTGGTTATTTTCAGGGCGATGCTCCGGGTACGGAGTCTGACAGTCTGCCTGTCGGGATGCGGGCCGGTGGGGGTTGGTTCGAGTCAGAGTCATTCACGGGATGGGGAAGAGAAGTTCAGCCTGTTGGATGGAGTTGGGTAGGTTGATAGCTAGCCAGCCAAGGCTCGTGACGAAAAGGGCTGAAGAGGGGAAGAAGGGCACCTGTAACTGGCTCGATAAGAGTATTCTCCCGAGTCCGAGACATAAGGTGCCTACTCATCACAAGCTTCAAGAGCGGGATGCTGAGCGAGGCATAAGATTGACGTAAGTCCAATAGGTTGGTCACGCAACTGAGCCTGCTTTTCTTCTCGCCCACACACAAACAGGGCAAGTTGGTGTGTGTGTGAGGGTGAGCAAGCAAATGATTGCACCATTTTTTTTTATCTGCTTATGTATCCCCTCACGATGATGCATTTTCCACCAGTCAAGTGAAACTTTCCCCCGCCTTCACTTTCCATCCCCCACGAAAAGATACGAGGAGACTCGAATTCTCAAACTTGCTAGTTTCAGACACAGCATAATCTTTTTGCTTCAAGCTGGTTTATTGACCTGTAGTATTTTGCACTGCCTCAGCTGCAACCCCTTCTGTCGACCATATATTGCTCGGGACCGAAAGGAAGTCTCAGAATCTTCCAACGAGACCCAGCCGTTTTTCCAGCTGTAATCTATATTGCACGCAGTAAACTACCGGACTGGACAAAAAATACCTGGGGACGGCAGACTTTGGTCGGGAAGTGTGTGCAATCAAGCGATTTAGCCGGACCGAAACCTAGGACACCAGATACCCAACCCACTGGTTTGTGTGAGAGAGAGAAAGTGGTGAGGTAATTGGGCACCATAGCGATCACACCACCCTTCTGGAACACACCTGAACACACCAGAGCCCGGGGCACCTGCCTGACATCGAGATGGTAGCTGCAAAAGAGCCCACTCACACCTGGTGACGTTGCAAGACAGTATCAAAACCTGGGGGATGCACGTTTCGGCAGATGAAATGCACTCCGGAATGGGGGGGAGTTTGGGGGCTGAAACTTGAGAGGGGAGCTGACATGACCCCCAAACGTTCTTCGAATGACCGAGAGAGAGGACGGCAACCGGGAGGATCGGCCCGGATCGACTACCAATTGTCAATAACGTGATCAAAAGCTTCATCTTATCCATCACGTCACCCCTCTACACACACCTCTTGTCATAGAGGTAAACAAATCCACAACCCCAAACATGACCTCACCATGCCACCTATCAAACAGATGGTTCTACAATCCCGTCATATTACCACCATCCCCTTCCCAATCCGTCCACCGAGACTTTCCCCCCTTTCAACCTCCCCAAACTCCCGGGTCAGATTAATCTATTTTCTCAACTTTTTGTCCTCCCTCTTTTGTAACCCACAACCCCATACCTCACGCGGAGACCGCCGACCACAAGCCCAAAAAGTACGGGCGAAACCGACAAGGTGGGTAGGTAGGTTTCCAGTCATGAAGGGATCACAGCATAGGTCAGCCAGGGAAGGGGAAGGGCGCATGTCGTGTCCGCCCCCCACCCACCACCGCTAGGGTATGCCGTGCTCACCAGAAAAAAAGCAAACACCGCATCAAGCAGCAACGGGCAGTACGAGGCGGGGCGGACGGGACTGTGGGAGGGGCGTGTACCTAGGTAGGTAGGTAAGAAAAAGGAAAGGAAAAAACCCTAAACGAAGAGATACCGGACATGCGGCTCCGGCGGTGGGCACGACTTGAAGCTGTAACACGCCAGGTGGATGCTGTGAAACCTGGCCCTCTGGGTCAAGGGGTATGGCTAGATGAGTGAAAATGAGGGGATTCCGAAGACGGAAGGAGGAGTAAACGAAGAGCGTTGGTGGGTTTGCAAATTTTACAGTGCCGGATATGAAAAGAAGGGAAAGTGCAGCTGACGGTTGAAGTGCCCCTGACAAGACAAGGTAAGATGTCCAAGGTACGCTACCCTGTATTGATATGTCAATATGTCAAAAAGAAACAAGTGAGGGTCTTCAAAGCGACTAGAACTAGTGGTATGATAAGATGGCGAAGGGGCAATGCGCCAATTCTATAAAGGGTAATGGATTACTGTGGCCAAGGGGTAGTGTGTTGACATGATGAAGGGGTAACGTGTTGATGTGGCAGTGGTTGATGCGGTAACGCAGTGATGTGGGAAGGAGCAGCGATCCATGGTCTTGTCTGTAAATTAGTCACCCGACCGTTGCTTGCGTTGCTCTACCCTATACACAACATCCATAAAAGACGCTCAACTCCAAAACACGCCCCAAACAAACTAGTTTCCAGCCTTGAAGGTTCTCCCGCTCGCTGTCTTGCGCTCCTTTTCTTCGTTCTCTGGTCTCGCTCTCCGGAGGACTGATATAAAGCGTTAGGATGATACTCAGGGAACAGTGGTAGGGAACGAACATACCCTGGAGGAAGTCTGCCGTCCGCCTTCTCATCCGAGTGTGGATATAAGCCTTGGAGGCCTTGATATGGTAGTGGAAGTAATCGCGGAAGGTCTGAATATGTGAAATAACATCATTCATACGCTGAGGGGTCAAGTGGCGAGGGAACAAAACTAGTTTGTATGTTAGCACATGTCATCCCACGCCGGTTATGTCGAGACATACCAAAAGTAACATAACCAATCTCCCCGGTGCCGGTATTCTTCACACCCGGCACACCCTGCAACTCCAATGGTGGATCATTCCTGAACAGCACCTGAGGCGCGTTCTGAATAGCTCTCCGGCGGGCATCCACAAACTCCTGGATGAACACCTTTCCAAACACGCGATCCGTCTCCTCCCTGAACACGGTACTGAAAATAACAGTGACGCGATCATGACTGGCCTTGACATAGATCGCCTCCTCCTCACGGTACTGAATAGCCTTCACGGACCCGCCCTCCTTGACACCCTGTGGCGCTTCTTCGGATGTGAACTTGGCGGCCTCGGCCTTCAGGTGGTAGTGCTCCTCGTACGCCTGCTTAAAAGGGGCAGCCATGGCATTGCGCTTCAACAGAGCAATCTTCATGATCAACGCATCGCGGGCTTCCTTGTCCTCTGGGAGATTCTCGAGGTCGATCTGGAGGGAAAAGTCATAACCTGGCTCGGGCGGGATAACATACGGGCCATATTCCTCAGCCAGGAGCTCCTCAGCGCCGTAACGAACAAGGTCCTTGTAGCAGCGGATTTGCATAGACACAACAATCTTCGTCTTGGTGTCGGGGGTGGAGATGTGGAAGATGACGCCGTCAAAGTCGGACACGGTCTGGTCGATGGACACGGGGGGTGCTCTGTGTTGGGCGCATTGTTGGTTAGCTATGGCGGTGATGGTCAGGGGGGGCTTGGCGGTGAGATTGGTAGAGACAAGACAACACTCACCCGGAGAAACGCTCCGTGAGCACCGTTTGTATCAGCACATTCTGGTAATCGAGCAGCAACATCTTGTCCCCTGGTTTCGGCTTCGACGGGTAGCTATGGTGTTGATGATGAAGTTGGGGGAAAGCTTTAGTGGGGCCTGTCAGTTGCAACTGGGAAGGCTGACGTTGCTCGGCTTGCGACAAGCTGCGGACCAGGCCCCTCCCTGAAGCTACTGCCCCGCAATTCCTGGAGCCGCAGCCACTGAACCCCTGCCGACGGGTGTGGCTAGTGTCGGTGTTTTCACCTTTGCAATTCTTATCTTATCGCTGCCAAAAAAAAGTCCTGGGCAAGACAAGCACTTCCCTCGAAGCGCAAGGACATTCCACAACGACTGAGAGGTGCGCCTGCATTGGATAATCTCGAGTCGCAAATATGGTCAAGTCCTACCTGTAAGTATTTGTCTGGAACCATCGCTCTGTTTGATAACACCCCTAACCGTCTCAGAAAATTTGAGCCATCAAAGTCCTTCGGCGTCGTCGCATCCAGCAGCTCCAACATTGTCTGGTCGTCCAAGGACAAGACGAAAAGCAGCGCCGGCCAAGCTGTCGTCGCCGCCAATGAGGAGGTGCTAGTCTGGGATATCAAGAAGGGCGAACTCCTCAGCCGCTGGAAAGAAGAGAACAACAGAGCTCTGGTAACCGCAATCGCGCAAAGCAAGACCGACCCGGATCTGTTCGCTGTCGGCTACGAAAATGGCAGTATTCGCATTTGGGACAGCAAGATCGCCACCTCCGTAGTGAGCTTCAACGGCCACAAGTCGGCCGTCACTATTCTCGCTTTCGACAAGACTGGTGTGCGCCTGGCCTCCGGTTCGAAGGATACCGACGTTATTGTTTGGGATCTGGTGGCCGAGGTGGGACAGTACAAGCTGAGAGGACACAAAGATCAGGTTACCGGCCTGAGGTTCATTGAGCCGGAGCCGGTGGTGCAGGAAGAAGATGGAGAGCAGGCGTTGATGGCGGTGGACAACGAGGGCGCAGAGGGATTCCTTCTTACGACAGGAAAAGATTCGCTGATTAAGCTCTGGGATCTTTCATCCCGCCACTGTATCGAGACACACGTTGCGCAAAGCAATGGCGAATGCTGGGCGCTAGGAGTTTCGCCGGATCTGAGCGGCTGCGTGACTGCTGGGAACGATGGCGAAATGAAGGTGTGGGCATTGGATGTCGTGGCACTGGCTGCCTCGGCGCAACGAGTCGACCTTTCACAATCAGTAAACTTCCTCCACAACAGAGGCACATTACACCGATCGAGCAAAGAGCGTGCAGTCGAGGTTATTTTCCACCCCCGCCGGGATTACTTCGCCGTACACGGAGTCGAGAAGAACGTTGAAATTTGGAGGATACGGACGGAATCAGAGGTCAAGAAGAGCTTGGCCAGGAAAAAGAAGAGAAGAAAGGAGAAGCTGGCAAAAGATAAGAAGGGCGCCGATGTTGACATGGAGGATGAGGGCGCCGACGACATCAACAAGGCCGAGATTTCTGATGTGTTTGCGCAGCACGTTATCGTACGAACCACGGGCAAGGTCAGATCAGTCGACTGGGCGATACAACAAGGGAGCAAGGACCTGCAATTACTTGTAGGGTCCACAAACAACTTGTTGGAGCTCTATACGATTGTTGGAAAGGACAAGCTCAAGTCCAAGACCGATGTCGCAGATTACAACAAGGCACTGGGTGTTGATCTCCCAGGCCATCGCACAGACATCCGCTCGCTATCACTCAGCTCGGACGACAAAATGCTGGCATCTGCTGCCAATGGTTCGCTCAAGATTTGGAACGTAAAGACACAAGCCTGCATCAGAACATTTGAGTGTGGTTATGCGCTCTGCTGCGCATTTTTGCCAGGTGACAAGGTGGTAGTGGTGGGAACCAAGGAGGGAGAGCTCCAACTGTACGATGTGGCTTCCGCGGCGTTGCTGGAGAGCGTGAATGCACACGAGGGCCATGCTATCTGGGCGCTACAAGTCCACCCAGATGGCAAGTCTGTGGTGTCAGGAGGTGCCGACAAAGCAGCCAAATTCTGGGACTTCAAGATTGTCCAGGAGCAAGTTCTTGGCACCACGAGAACCACACCAAAACTCAAGCTGGTCCAGTCGAGGATACTCAAGGTATCTGACGACATTCTCAGTCTGAAATTCTCCCCCGACTCCAAGCTCCTGGCTGTGTCTCTCCTCGACAGCACAGTCAAGGTCTTCTTTGTCGACTCCCTCAAACTCTACCTCAACCTCTACGGCCACAAACTCCCCGTCTTAAGCATGGACATCTCCTTCGACAGCAAACTAATCATCACCTCCTCCGCCGACAAGAACATCAGAATATGGGGTCTCGATTTCGGCGACTGCCACAAAGCCTTGTTTGGTCACCAAGACTCGATCCTCCAAGTAGCCTTCATCCCCCACAACTCGGACGGCAACGGACATCACTTCTTTTCCGCGTCCAAAGACCGCACGATAAAATACTGGGACGGGGATAAATTCGAGCAAATCCAACGTATCGACGGCCACCACGGGGAGATCTGGGCCCTTGCCATCTCCCACGCGGGTAACTTCCTCGTGTCCGCCTCTCACGACAAGTCTATTCGTGTATGGGAGGAAACGGACGAGCAGATCTTCCTCGAGGAAGAGCGCGAAAAGGAACTGGAAGAGCTTTACGAATCTACGCTCACCACCTCCCTGGAGCAAGACGCCGACGCCCAGGATGAAAACCGCGAGGTTGCCGCAGCATCAAAACAGACGGTTGAGACGTTGATGGCAGGAGAGAGAATAGCCGAGGCCCTCGAGCTCGGCCTGTCAGACCTCAACGTGGTGAAAGAGTGGGAAGTAGCCAAGGCTTCCAACCCCAACCTTGCGCCGCCGCAACGGCACGCCATCTTCATGGCGCTGGGGAACATCACGGCGGAGCAATACGTGATGAACACCCTCTCCAAGATCAAAGCGTCCGCGCTCCACGATGCGCTTCTGGTTCTTCCCTTTGCGTCAGTGCCGATGCTGTTCACCTTTTTGAACCTCTTCGCGCTACGGAGCATGAACATCCCTCTCACCTGCAGGATCTTGTTTTTCATGCTCAAAACCCACCACAAGCAGATTGTCAGCAGCAGGACGATGCGCCAGATGCTGGACGGGATCAGAGTCAATCTGAGGCAGGCGCTGAGGAAGCAGAAGGATGAGATGGGGTATAATATTGCGGCGTTGAGGGTGGTGGGGATGCAGATTGAGGAGAGGAGTGTCAAGGGGTTCGTGGATGAGAATTGGGAGGAGGAGGAGAAGCAGAAGAAGGAGGTGAGGAAGAGGGCTTTTGCTAGTCTTTCTTAGACTTGGTAATGGATGGTTTGGGGCAAATGTGTGGTGAAGAAAAGCGAGTGGGGAGCTTTCTGATGGCTTGTTAAATGGCATGGTAGATAGAGATGGTGTTTCTGAATTTGAGTAAAATGTCAAGTTCAACATCTTTGAAGTTTTGTGATACTTTGTACTGCTCTGGCAGTTTTTGTCATTATGATTATTTTGCGACTCAGTCCATGGTATCTTTCCCCCTACCCTTTTCCCAGTCCCCCTTGAATCACTTTCGCTTTAGTGAATATCAACGCTAAACTTGTTGTGTTTCCACGACAACAAATACCACCCACATCCAGCACATTATTTACAAATTAATCAGGACCACTACTCCTCTTCACTCTCCACTGCCTCCGCCTCTGACGAAGCAGGTTGTGCATTGTCTTCGGGCGGTGTATCAACCATGACATCATCCTCATCACCCTCATCACCCTCATCACCACCGTCAGTCTCAACAACAGCAGGCGTTTCATACGGTGTCTCATACGCCTCCCCGCTCTGTGACGGTGACGAGGACTTTGCCTCTTCACTGTCGACTTCCATCCGCGTCTCATCCGCGCCATCATTAGGCGAGGACAACACCGACAAAGAAGCAGGTGTCTCACCACCAGCCGAGTCTTCCAGCATCGCCTCTTGCTTCATCGCCTCCTCCATGACATGCTCCAGCGCCTCCTCCATCGCGGTATCGTCTTCAGCCGTTGTGGGAGTGACGTTCGTCTCTTCTTGTGGTGTGGCGTCTTGCATAGTTTCTTCTAGGGTCGTTGCCGCAGCCTTTTCTGAATCAGTCTCCGCAGACGAGGAATCTCGATCTATTGCTGTTGACTCCCCTGAGACAGTATTTGCTGGCACCACCCCATCTTGATCACCACTTGGCGACATCGGCGCCTGAGTGCTGGGCGTCGGTTCACCGGCCTGATCGTGAACATGACTGTCGGGCCGATCTTTGTCGTTGCTGGCGTCTTGATGTTGTACATCGACCGAACCAGTTACCTGAGTTTCCGCAGGTGTAGAGACAGACGCATCAGAGCTAGAAGTAGAACCGGCCGCAGATGGGTCTTGGGCTGCAACGGGAGTTTGACCATTATTTCCGGACTCAAGCTGGGTACTGACACCGTTGGGCACGGCCGGAGGCGGCTGGACTCGAAACTTCGGCTTGCTGGCACGTCCGGTGTTCGCACCTGGTGTCCGTAATGAGGACCGGCCTTGGGATACGGCGTTCTGTGGTTGCGGGGGTGGACCGGCTTGGTTAGCTGGTGCGAACCCAGGTGGTGCATATGGGCCGATGTATCCTGACGGTCCTACATATGGAACTGGCGGCGACGGTCCAGTTGGTCTTTGCCCTTGTGGAGGTTGGGCATTAGGCGGAGGTCCATTTGATACGTGTGGCGGACGATAACCGGGTGGTGGTGGTGGAGTTTGCTGTTGTCCGGGATGCGGAGCTTGTGGTGGGCCTTGGGCTTGACCTGCCGAATGTTGACCGGTTTGCGGGGCCGGTTGTGGAGGCCGGTTGTGCATGCCACTCGGAGCTGGCGGCGTAAGCGCAGACGAAGGTGGGCCGGGATATACAGTCACAAAACATGGCGGCCCGAGCTCGACTGGTTGCCCGGCGTAAACAATGGGCAGCACCGTGCCAGGCGGTATGCAATGCTGCCCAGGATAGCTCCAAGGTCCGGGATGAGGCCCAGTGTATAGCACAACATAGTTTGAAGGGTCAAAAGCCGGCGGTATTTGTGGATACGCCGGAGCCTGGTGTGCGGCGGGTTGGAGGCCAGGTTTTCCGGGTTGCGGAGCATGATGCGGAGCTGGTTGGGCTGCCGGCCGATTTGCTGGCGCGACGGGAGGGGTCTGAACCGGAGGGGCCTGTGCCACTGGCCTATTTTGAGCCGGTGGCATTTGCTGTGCCGGAGCGGGGGCTAATGGGGCAGGTGGTCGAGGTGCTGGCGGAGGTGGTTTGTAATGCGGTTGTGGATTCACACGACCTATGATTCGAACGGACGGGGTCATCGGTGCTGTTGTTATCGGTACAGCAGACAAAGCCCCAGCAGATGACGAGGGAGTTGGAGTGGCACCGTTCGTATTTGGGTTCACAACCGTCACCACTGGTTCCTCTTGCTGCATTCCTTCTTTGGTTCGAAATGTTGAACGCTGGCTCAGTGGTTTCCAGCCTTCCAACGCCTTTGGAACACCTCCTGGCCCGACCTTGTGGACTTCAATACCCGTCCCCTCGAGTAGTTTGTCCCGTGAATCCCACCATCCCTGAATCGTTGGCGTAGGAATCTTCCAAAAATCCGAAGCTTCGGCGTACGTGGGTGCTCTGTACCAAACAAGTTCTCCATTCTCATTCTCGACAACCGGTTGTGTTGAGCAATCTTCTTGGGGCTGGCCAATCCGGCGGCGTGGTGTTTTTCGGGGGCCAGAGTCCGGGACGCGGTGGGTAAGGAGATAAAGCAATACTTCGATCTTGCGCTCACGGGTGTAGCTTCGTTCGACGCGTTTGATCTGCTTGAGGGCCTTCGCCTTGAGCTTCTCGGACAAGGGTTTCGGCGCTGGCCCAGGCTTCTTTCTCTCGACTCCTTTCACGGTCAGGGGCCGGCGAATTGGCGTAGTTTTTGGCGTGGGAGCCATGGTGGTTCCGTGGGAGGCAATGCCGACGCGCTGCCTCGGCCAAATCCAACAGAATCGGCCATGAGACGAAAACCAATTGTGACGCTATCGGTCTCTTGTCCAATTGTCAATTGAGCTCAGGGTCGTGAACATGAGGTCCGTGCTGGCGCCGAATTTATTGTGAGCAAGAACAGCCTCCTCCAGACCTGGTTAGAGTCTGCCAAATATGGGCTTTGCTCCACATGGCTACATTGACAGCATGACATCCCAAACCACCATATCCGACAAAAAAGTGGCCGTGGATTTTGAGGCAAGCAAAAGGAGAAGGAAAGTAGTGAGCAGGCTCACAATAAAAACATACATAAGCATATGCCCAATAACAGGATTGAACTGTTGACCTTCGCATACCATTTACAGGTGTGTACCAGTATTAGTACGACGCTCTAACCAGCTGAGCTAATCGGGCTTGATGATTTGTTGAAAATGGGGACGCGTTTTGGGTACACGACTGGCCCAAAACAATCAAGGCATTATGATGAGAGAAGCACAGGCCATACAGGAATAGTTGCTGCCTCGCGTTGGTAACTTCCGGTTGTCAGCCACTTCAGCTTTTCGACTCTGACATCAGCTGTCAAGAAGCACTGAAACAGACCTCTTCTTGCAGCCGTCATCTTTCCTTATTCTATATTGGCTTTGCGAGAGGCAGCTTGTAACGGTTCTCACAGTTTCGCTTTCTACATGGCGTCTAGGTATATAATCATATGTCCGATCACATACCAGCATCACCGCAGTCAATTACCTGATGTACCAATGGCATGCTATGGCGGCCCGCTGAACCCTTCTCCCCCTTGTCTTGGGGACGATGAGGGGTCCACGGGTGTGCCACAGCCCGCTCCGCAGCCTCCGCCGCGTTGGAGACTCCGCCCCGCCCCAAGGCCTGAATCTCAAACAGACGACATCCAATCTCCAGGAAGAATGCCGTCGGGCTGAGGACTTCAAACATGGCGCCAAGTGCAACTGAGAACATACCTTAACCACTGTCCCAATACATAGTCAGCCTCTCCTTCGTTTTGCTCTTCTTTTAATACCACAATCCTTCCTTCTCCTTTGCCGGCCTCAACCACGTCGATATCTGTACCAGGTGTGGCTGTCGCATCGTGAATTTGGCAATATTATAGGCAATCACACGTACCCAGCATAACCCAACCCACCTTGCCGGACACCTCGGCTTCCCAAGAAACCAACTCTTCGACTTTCATTTTGTTTTACCGTAGGACTCAAATCGCAAACATATCCCGGTGCCAAACCTGACGTTAGCTTGCCTCGTGTCGACAAATCGTTACCAAGATGGGTTTCCGCGACAAGTTCAGGAAGAAGGAGGAGGAGGAGGGAAACAGCACCCTCGATTTCACGTTTGTGCGATCCGATACCCATAGTGCCGAGGTGATCCAGCCTCCAGGAGAACCCGTTGGTGCCAGTAACGACGGGTTCCTCAGTCCAGGCCCGCAAACACCCCAAAAGTCCCGCCGAAGCCTCGACGTCTTCCGAAGTAACCGCAGCCGAAGCGCATCTGCATCGAGCAACCAAGGCGGTGGCCACAAGCGCCTATCGCAACGGCTACACCTGAGCCGCAGTCCAGCCAGTAGCGAGATCGTACCGCAAGATCTGCCGGAGATCGTGGTTCCGGAGGGGGGCGTCGAGGACAAGGACGGGACCGAGTCGCAATGGGAGAAGCGAGCCACTCTGCTTGCTCGCGAGAACGAGAAGCATCGCAGCCGGCCAGGGACCCCCGATCACGGAAGTTCTCCCCCGACTCTACCTCAGTTGCGCTTAGGCGATGCGTCCGCGGACGAGGCGCCAGATCCCAGGGTCAAGGTGGTGTCATCGAAGGCCATCGACGAGGATATCCAGGAGGCTATCAGGTTGCATGAGGCAGGAAAACTGGAAGAGTCGACGGCGTTGTTTGGCCGGTTAGCGGATCCTAAGGGGGCCAACAACCCCCTTAGCCAGGTTCTCTATGGTCTCGCCCTCAGGTATGTGCCTCTGCCATGCCTGCACTAGAGACAGAAGTGTCCATATCGCAAAGCATCAACAAAATGGCGGCTGGTCCAATGATGGTTATGTTCGTAAGCTAACGGATATCAGACACGGATGGGGTTGCCAACCGAACACTGCTGCCGCCGTCAACTATCTCTCCGCGGCAGCATCCAACGCCGCCGAGATTGAGCAGATGGCCCTCCAAGCAGGACTCAAGAAAGGAGGAGCAGCCAAGGGCGAGCTGGTTCTGGCCATATTCGAATTGGCCAATTGCTTCCGACACGGATGGGGTATTGCCAAGGACCCCATTGCTGCGAAGCAGGTAGGTTTGTTTTTCTTGCTGCTGCTTGTTGATTTGAATGCAACGGCGAACGGTTAACGGTGACGTCTCAACGTGTGGCTGGTATGCATATCGAGTTTTGCACAAGTGTGCTCGAGAGAGCTCCTCCTGAAGGGTCGTGGGTTGAACACATCTTTTGTTGATACTGACAATGCATCTCAGTACTACGAAACGGCAGCGAATCTCGGCGATACTGGTATGTTGGCCGTCCATTTCTGGACTACGCCCGTGGAGAGCAAGCTAACCAGCTCATCTTTTGTTGTTTACAGACGCGATGAACGAAGTCGCATGGTGCTATCTTGAGGGGTTCGGCACTAAGAAGGACAAGGTCAGTAAATATTGTCTCACATTTTCTCAGATGTCAACTTTTTTTTTTGGTCGCTTGTACACACATGAAGGCCGGCATCGAGATTGCCTGGGCGTGACCATGCCAGCTGGACAAGCAGCAGCGGCAGACTTCCCACGTTCACACTTTCCGGTCGGTCTGTCAACAAGTGATGCCGGTTGGAAGTGTGGCTTTCCTGTCGAATCAGGAGCAGTTGGGCATCAACGGGGCTTTTTTGCCTGAAAAGGACGAATCACAATTCGCAAGCTTCTTTCAGTGAGGGGGGGAAGCACCACACTCTTTTTAAGGTCCATCACATGAGGCTGACAGTTGAACTGCATGAACACAACAGTTTACGGCAGCGAAGTACTACCGGAGAGCCGAAGAAAACGGAAACAAGATTATTGGAAACACCTGGTAAGCACATATCCGGCTTTTTTTTCTCCTTCTCTTCTTTCCCACACAAGACTGCAGTTACGCAGTGTGTGGTGGTTTATGCAACGGCAGAACAATGTTGCAGATATGACTTGCGTCTTGTTTGCGTGATAGGTTGAGCAAAACTGCTCTTTCTGTCTCGATAGCCGTACGTTTTTCTGTCCGCCCTACTTTTTGTTCTCTCACCACACCCCCTCCACCGTCTTGGATTCTGAGAGGTTGGTATCCTTTGATATGTACCTTTGTCCGATTGGGTTGTTTTTATGGAGGGGGCGTGGTGTGAGGGTGGGTGGTGCAGGTCTCCGTTTCTTTTTGCTGGAGCCAAGTGCCGGTGGTACGCCCACCCGTGGTGTGTTGCCCTCTTGCTGTGTTTATTTATCACCGCATTTTTGTATCGCGGGCCCGTAAGATGCGGATGGATGCTGTGTAATTTGTGGCGTGGTACGGTTACTCAAGGGAAGCGGGAATCGGTTGGGCAGATTTTCTGGTTTGGTTTTGGTTTGGGGGAGACTGGAGAGCTGACGGCGAGTTTTTTTAGGATTTGGAAGGACAAGTACAACCCGGAGAATCAGAAGAAGAAGTGAGATGGAGAGTGGTACAAAGTCGGGACAGGGCGAAGGCGGGGGAGTGGGACTAGTAAATGGAGGAGGTTTGTGTCTCTTTTTGCCTTGTGATTTTGGTGTTGCTTGGAGGGAAATGGGAGGTTTGCTGGGTTGGTTTACTGGACAGTTGGATATCCTCAGGGGGTTTGCTTCTGGAGTTTTGTGTTTTAGGATTCCCTTTTGGATAGGTGGCAAGCCGTTATAATCACAATTGTTGGATCACGCGATAATTGATTGAGTCCGGACAGACCATACAATGAGGATATGCTGTGATCTGAGGGGACGAGACCCTGATACACAGACGATGAGCAGTGGTGGTAGGTGGCGGCGAGGGCGGCTGTTGAGAAAAAAAAAAAAAAAAGAGTGGACAATTGGGTTTCTTGGTAGATGGGCGCGATTTACATTGTATAAAGGTACCGAACAACAACAACCACTGGTATGGCCTTGTCGTTTCGGCAGTCCTTGCCACGGAGGTGCAGAGTGCATACTGTAATCGGTATTGGATGAACCTAAAGGCAAGGGGGGGTTATATGGTCAGATGGGGTGGGGGAGGCGCGGGTATCGTGAGATTTTTGGGATGCTGCTTTGAGAAAAATGCCCATGTGGAAAGTTTTGAGGCGGGAGAAAATGTTTGAAGCGGTCATTGAGTGGTTGGGAGAGAGGACGGGGAAAGGGGCGTTGTGCGACAGGAGTTATCATGTTGCAATAAAGCAGATTCATCTGGTCTGAACAGTCTGGTCATTGCCCTTAGGCATTTTTGGCCTTACTATTTTGTGAGTTTTGCATGGCTTTTGTCATTTCTTTGGGGAGAGACGGGGACGTTTCATAGGCACAGAGGAGGAGTTCGTTGGGTTTGGTTGGAAGTTCCGTGATATTTTCGTTTGAGATTTCTTGGTTTTGATGGAGAGCGTTGGTAAGTGGAATGGCTTTATTGATTTTTATGCTTTATTTAGGAAGAGATTAGGCACTAAATGTGGCTAACATGGATGACGACTTGCTTTACCTGCTCGGGGGGTTTGCCACTGTGGATTTTGGTTTCTTGATGTCTGTTTACTCCTTGTGTATGGTGTTGACATCAATGTGAGACGGGAAACTGCGTTTTGCCATCATGAAATACCACTCTGGTGCTGGCGCTCCTTTCGAGTGGGACGGAATGGCCCGGGTCTGGAACTCCAGATCGTATTATGTGTGGATTGTAGGCGCACAAGTATTCGACTAGACCTACATAGATGGTTGAAAGACAGGTTATGTAGCACCGGCGCAAAAGCGCGAGTGCAACATGACTGAAGCTCTGTCGATGTTATGATCATAAGCGAGAGGAGGAATCTGCTGACAGCGAGTTGACGACAAGAAAAATAGGAAACTGGGCATGGATTCCTACTCGTCCAGCCTATCGCACGTTATGGAACCCGTACCCAGGCTAAGCTTGACAGCATATACCTACTTTGGGCAGAGAGGCATGCAGCATTAGCTTGGTCTTGTGCTAGTTTCGGAGTTTTTTGACCGTGTTGCTTCTGTTGGTATAGACTAGACAGTTTACCAAGAGACTAGGTAGAGTTGCTGTTTCGAATGGGAGCTCGTTTTCAAGGTTCGGATGATGGTTAGGATAGAATTGAGTTTAGGTCCCGTCTATCGTCTCATCCCATCCCGATGTTTGGGTCCAAGGTGGAGAGGGGGTTCAGATAATAGGATGTATGCATTTAAGGAGGAGTAAACGGACCGAGCGAGAGGAAGTATCTTGAAGTTGCGGACTTGAACCTCGAAAAACGGACTTGGTCTTGCATTCAAGAGGCCCAGAAGCAGCGTTTCAAGGTTGGGAGTGGCGAAAGCAACCTCACTCAAGTCATACTCTGGGCTAGACCCCTTTTTTGTTCGTGACTTGCTGTGGTGGGATGGTGTAAGCGATTTCCCCTGTCAATCATCTCTGAATATCGCCCCTACGACAGAGGCGATCATCCTAAATGGCCAGGCGCGAAGTAAACCCTCCGATAGAACCTAAGAATGACAAGAGAATGTAGCACAACACTGCCCGTAAGTTGCCACAAACTGTAGTAGAACTTGGCTGCAACCCTTTTGTGGCGTGATTATAGATGAGTCCCTATTTTCGTGTGTATTCGATCTTGTCTCATCTGTCGGCGGTTTTGCTGATCACAAACACAGGCTTGTTCAAGTTTCAGAGTCACATGGGGTTGGGGCCTAGGCTCCGGTTTGTGGGTTGGGTTGAAACTGTGCCTGACGGCCGATGCCGGACCGGAGCGGGACCGGGGCTCGTGCTTCCTTCCGTGTCACTGGTGCCCGGCCCCGGTTCCTCTCCGGTGTTTGCTTTCCGCATCTGAAAGCAAGAAAAGACTGCTTTAAACAAGGGAAACTGTAAGCGATTTCTTGGAAGTAGTACTCGGTAAAGGCTGTAACTGTGATTATCACATCTCTAAGCCGTGAACTACAGTTTGCACCCCCATACACCGTGCTTCGCAGTGCAAGCTGGGACGGTTGACTGAATACATATCTTTGCCACACCGGCGAGCACAAAGACAACTAACGTCCATGAATCTATAATCTCCAAGCCTTCAGGGATAGAAATAGATGACTAAACGGCAAGTCTGGGACGAAAGTTCGGACGACAAGCTAAGTGTAGCCAGCTTTTGAGCCACGACACATATAATCTTGATAAGCAGATCATCACGTGGAAGCATATTTGCAGCGTGAAACAAAGTCAGGTGGTAAGCCCATGGTATTGACACATGAGCTCTAACTTTCATGGATCACTTTTAATCGATAGTCCGTATCAACCGACGCAGCATTGAGAACACTGACTCACAACCACGAACATTCTCAACACATATTGGCTCCATGGAATAAGCACCGTTGAACGCTCACTTATATGCCTTTGCATCACCGAGCCTACCTACAGTGCAGATAATAACAACAAGTGCTGTTTTTTCCACATCTCTTGAGCCCCCCTGTTCTATAATTATCAACTGAACTCCAAGCACCTCCGGAGAAGATATCCCACATGTCCTATCCATTTACCCAATCTCCTTTTGATACTTCAACGGTCATATTCAACTCACATTCTAAGGTTCTGCCTTCCACTCAATCATACACCCAACATATAGCTACTCCCACCACATCAAAAACCACACTGCTTACACAACACCATCCGTGAGCAACAATAATCATGAAAACACATCCAAAGCACTTCACCACATCTCTCATCCTCATCCCAATTATAAACAGCGAAACACAAAAATAAAACAAATTAACCAGTTTATTCAGCCCTAACCACCTTACCACCAACTCCATTTTTCGATCTTTTGGGCTATGGTTGCCAGGCAAATGTCGTATGTTGGTGATCAGTTTAATATTCTCAAGCCAACTATTTCCCAACTCCAACTCCCCATATTTCAAACAAAAACCCACAAAATAAATAAAAAATAGCCCTGGTTTCTCAAACTGTGTGTCGAGCTATTGTAAAAAGAAAAGCGAAAAAAGAAACGTAAAAACATATCCTTCCCCCATCATCCCAGCTATCCCCAACCCCAGCGCTTGCAAACGCAAAATTTTGAGAATGCCACGCCCGCAAACCATCCAGAGCGATTGTTTCCGAGCGAAAAAAAAAACTTCAAAATCTTCTTCGTTGCCGAGCGATTTTTTCGTTGGCAAACGAATTTTTGCCAAGTGTTGAGATGAAAGAACTTGCCATGTCGAAGACCAAATCTCAAAACACCAACGACCCCTTGCCGCACCACCACTCCTCCTTTCCCTTACTCTACTAAGTATTCCCCCGGATTTGGGAGAACACCGTTCGACATAGGGCATAAGAGGAGGAGGAGGTTTGGCGATGACGAGGGGGTCGGGTGGCAAAGTCGAGAGATTGATTGGCGATTTGGCGATGGCGAAGGGGGAAAGCCGGAAAAAGATCGCGAAGAAAGAAGCCCATGTTGCAATATGTTGATACACTTCCCACAAAAAAACCACCCCGTTGTGCTGCGCTGTGAATATGTCGCGATGATCAGTTCGTTCCAACCTCAAACTTCCATCTCCAGCAGCCTCAATTCGCCAGGTGTTTAAACCTGGTTCTGACGGCGAGGACAAACACCACCAGCACCGGCAGTATCACCACCACGGCCATGGCCCTGACCGCCACGTCCGTTGCCGCCAGGAGCACCACCAGCACCACCTCCTTCACGACCCTGTTGTCCAGAAACGCCCGGAGAGGAGTCCTACTCCCCCCGGGGACGCTTCGCACCATGCGGATTCTGGGCTTGGCTGTTCCCACCGCCACCGAACCCACCAGCACCACCCGAACCTCCACCAAACCCGAACGGCTGGGAAAACTGGTTGCCCATCCCTTGGAAGGCTGAGATGGGTCCTTTCGGGTTAGCAGGCGGTCAAAAAAAGAAAAGAAAAAGTCGAGACGGCCCAGTGCCGCCAGGGGAAAAGTCAGTTCTGGGGTCCTTACCAGGCATACCACCCATGGGTCCACCCATACCCATTGGGCCAGCACCACCCATCATCATGGGGTTCATACCAGCACCCATTCCCATCATGCCACCGCCAGCCATGGGGTTCATGGGCATCATGCCCATGGCATTTCCAGCGCCGCCACCACCGCGACCGCGCATGCCACCACCACGACCCATCATGCCCATCCCACCTCTGTTGTTGAACCCGCCACCACCACCACCATAACCACCGCCACCGCCACCGCCAGCGTTGAAGCCCATGTTGTTACCGGGGTTGAACTGGTTGTTCATGCCGCCCTGGTAATTGCTATAACCACCGCGGTTCATCTGACCACGAGGAGTGTAACCACCTCTACCGCGGTAACCGCCACCACCAAAGCCGTTGTTGCCGCCCTGGTAGCTGTTCGGGCGCTGCGAATCATTGTGGTTTGGGCCAACAGGAGGACGACCACCACCTTGGCCATCTCTGGGAGCACCGCCCCGGTTGGGGGTGTCCTTGGGCAGCGTCCGGAAAGGGTTGAACGACGGATTGTTGTAAATCGCCGTGGGACGCTTCGACGCCGGCTGATTCGGCTCGTTGGCCAGCGACTCGATGCGGTGCTTGACCGCCGTGGCGGCCTGCTGGGACGTGAACTCGACATAAGCTTGTCTAATCCGATGTATTGGTGTTAGCAAACCGCTCCAAGGCTTTTATCTGATGTGCGAGAGAAAACAAAACAAAACTTACCCTTTGCTCTTGCCGTTAACCTTGTGCTCGCTGAAAGTAATGTCTTTGAGTTCAGCCTCACATTGGGCCTGAACAGCCCAACCGCGGATGTCGTCGTCAGTCGTCCACCAGTTCAACTCATTGATGAGCAGCGCGGTGGTGGCACCGGGGTCGACAGGGCGCTCATCCGAACCCTCACCCTCCTTGCGCTTGATGCCCTGCTTGGGCTGAGGGCTCTGACGCGGCTGGGCCTGGCCGTCAGACTCGCCCATGTCGTACAGGTCGGCGCCGTTGTGGCCCTGACCCTGGTTCTCGTCACCGTTCTCACCGGCGTAGTCATAGTCCTCGTGGTTGCCCTGGCTATTGCCGGCGTGGGCATCCTCTCTGTCATAGTGACCGCTGTTGCCGTTCTCTTGGTGATCGTTACCGCCCTGGTCATTCTTCTCATCCCCGTAGACGTCGAGGACGAAATCGTCGTTCTCAGCCATTGTGGATGCTTTTGTGAGAGTTCTTGTGTGCTTTGAAATCAGATATGATTAAGCCCTGGCTATTAGATTAGAATACATGCCCAAACGGAAACAAAATGTACGGTTGCGATTCGTAATCGGCACCCTTGGCTCGAGACAACATGTCCCAGCTTCAACGCCGACCAAGTGAAAGTGCAAATATGATGCGATGAAAAGGATGATCCATAAAGATGTGATAGGAAAACAAAGGCAGAGAGTTTGTAATACGTACACTTCGATCAACCTTCAAGGTGGCGATCGACGAAAACTGAAATCAAGGAGTCAAGCTCTGTGCTTGTGAACTCCTGGTGCTGGCTTCTTGTTTGCCCTTCTTCCCTCTCAAGTGTGGTTCTTGGAGATACAGGTGTGAAAGACGAGGACTAAATCCCAATGATTTGCTTCCTCTTGAACTGCCAACTCTGAAAACCCCTGCCTAAAACCCTAGATCATGGTTATTGTCTGTTCTCCTCGAAAAGCTGTGAAACCAAAGTGAGAGCTGTGCAGTCAGTGGGAATCACTCGGAGAAGGTAGGATAAAGTGAGGGAAATGAGGGACGAGTGCAGGGCGAACATAGGACACTCCCTAAGGAGAAACCTAGTGAGCTCCTTGTGACTTCTGCCTGAGCATTGGTCATTAGGAGCAACTTCGCCGACCCCACCCAAAGTAAACAATGGGGAAAGGGGTGGGAGAAGCGGGTCTGCCAAGAGCGACTAGGCGTGGCCAGTGCAGCAGTTGTAATAGGGGTGTAGTGTGGTGTGTAGAAGCAAGGTGAAGAGGATGATGGGGTTTCACGACCACATAACGTCTTGGCTGGACTGAAGCTTGATGTCGATAGATCTAGAAGATCGGGCTGTGATGGGTGGTAGACTTACGTTGCGGTCAGGTCGGTGCTATCTGGGGGCCGAATACTTGTTAGCTTCAAGTCTTTCATAAGTGAATAGAAGATGAATGGTATACCTTATGGCTGAGTTAAGCGGTCGGTTTGAAGACGGGAATGAGGAACTATTATCAAGTGTTAGTAATGTCCTGGACAAACAGGGAGGGTGTAGCGAGAGGTGAAGAAGGTGAAGGCAGCGGACGGGGAGGACAGTCAAGGTAGCAGACCCGGTGGAGAGTCGCTTACTGGAGTTGTGCTTGGCTTTGATGAAGAAGTGACTGGGTGGACAAGCGACTCGAAGGTGAAGGGGTACTCAAGATCAACGAGGCATAGGGTGGAAGAACAGGATGTGATTGAAGAAGGGTCTCAAGTCCAACTGTGGCTGTGGAAGAAAAGGTGTTGGTGCAGGGGAAAAGAAACAAGAGGGGGTTTCCAAATACCTGAATGGTGGATGGGTGTTGTGGTAGACAACGCTAATAGGGCTGGCTGACTGTTAGGTCGAGGAAAATTGAGAAGCGATACTGTTGTGTCCTGTATACGTCATCGACGTACGGGATCGCTATTGAAGGGAACCACGAGAGAGTATGGGTGCTCGCGTGGATAGGTAGGCAATAGGATAGAAGGGTGCTGAATGTGGAGGGAGTATATAAACGGGGAGAAGTTGAGAAGATTAAAGTTGTCCGATGTGTGTCCAGTCCACGCTAACAAAGCAGTGTTTCAAAGACAGAGGGAAACCGACATTCAGATGAGATATAATGGGTGTTGGAAGAGGATGATACAATGATTGTTTGTTTGTTTACACCCTGATCACCAACAAGCCCAGGAATGACGAACAACAATGAATCCAGCCGGGAAGGGAACAATGGTGCAATCTGTGATTGGGGAGATACAATGAGAGGTGGACGAAAACACATCTGAGGAGTTTGAGAAGGATAAAGCAGAGGTGAGGTAGGAAATTACTGCTACTGGCAGTGTGGTCAAAAGAGACCGGACCAAACTAGTCCTCGCCCGCGACCACAGTTGGGGATGAAGGGAAAACCAAAAGATGATGGCAAAGAATCGTGAATACATACCTGATATGATGGTTCAAGTGTGGTCGTAGTCCTGAATCTGCTGTAACCTGTGAGAAAAGGTCGCGAGAGCTGGTGATGAGTGATTCGTGGGGGGCAAATGCCACGAAGAATGAGAACGAAGTTGCAGGAAGAAAAAGTCTTTGGTAGTGTGGGGTGAGGAGCGACCACAAGGCAGAAATAAACAATCCTGGGTGGAGGAAGGGAGCTCGGGGCAGGGCGTGGGCGGTGTGGCGTACCTGTGAGGGGGTCAGCACACCTAGTAGTTGATTATGGCCAGTTATTTTTGTGTCTAGTCCAGTAACAGAGGCAATGAGAGCAGGAGGTGCAAGCAGAGGGGTCCAAAGACAGGTCATCTAGCACTGTTGCCAAAATTCCAGGCGGTAAACTACCCCCAAGTAGGCGTCCAGTCTTCCATAGCCAATTCCCCAGGGAAATCGGGAAGCAGAGTAACAGACACACGATCCAACCCCTAGAAGTGTTCCAATAATCATCTGGAAACAACAAGAAACCAAGCAGTAGACACAGCTGAGCCACCCAGCAAACCAACTTTGGTCAAGGGCAGCTACAACCATCTCGAAGTATTCCACGTCGTCTAGGTCAAGTTCCCGTCCTAGAAGAAGTGTTGCCAACTTTGAACAGGCAAAAGCACGCCAGTCCAGAGTTCCCGGTTGAAACAATCTCGGAGGCTGTGGACAAAACAACAAACAGAGGACCGCCGAAAGCCCCTAAGCAGAGAGAAGTCCCGGTCGAACCCGCTCCAATGTGTCCGGTTGTCGCGGCGTGTAGAGCAATGATCCAAGAACATGGGCGTTTTGGCATGTCAATCCTTCTCGGCTCTGTACCGTCTCGAGTATACTCCCATCCGTCCTGGCTAGTTTCTGATGCGAACTGAAGCCCTGCCGTGGAACGGATCGATCGAGCTAGAGTGCGGTGCAACTGGCTCCGGGAGTTTGTCTTCAAGCTGCCTTGGGCCTGCTCGAGGCCTTTGAATAGAGTTTGGCTTGACAGTTGAGGGTTCGATCGGAGGGATCTTGATTGAAGAGACGTTTTGGGTTTGTTCGGAGTCATCTCTTTCGTCGGATGGAGGGCCAGTGATGTGTTCACGCCGTAGGTTGAGGAATAACTCGGTGGATCGTGAAAAGGGGCGGCGTCTTTGTGAGAACTATGAGGTAGCAGAGCAAGTCCAAAGGAATAGGACGATGTCCATCTCAGAAGAGTGCCTGGGAAAGAACGGTTAGCCAGTGCTGGAGATGATGGCATGACGGGGAGGACTACTTACTTCCATGGACTTTGTTTGGCTCAACCGTCTACCGACGGAAAAGCACATGGACGGCAAACCAAGTGCTAGGCCCTGGCTCTCCCCGGGTTCTTGATGGCCTGAATGGTCTTGGCAGCATGAATATCGGTACTTGGACTTGGATGTTATTGACGGCTTGGATGTCCTTGGCGGCTTGGGTTCTCTTGACGTCTTGACTGTGGTTCAGTACCAGGAAGAGAGAGAGCGGGAAGAGATCTCAGAGAAAGGAGCCTCAATAGATAGGGCGCGCCTCTGGTGGCTACCTTCGGCCTTTCGGCGCCGTCAAGCAGTCGACCCCGACAGGCAAGAAAAGACCGGTAGGACCGAAAGACAATTAAAGCCCGACAGTGGGGCGTTGTCTCCTTAGTTCTGTGCCTACATTGTTCTCCGTCTGATATAGCTTTGTCTCTTATCTCCGCTTTTTACTCTTGTCTGAAGTCGTTTCGGGTCTGTCGGGTGGTAATTGTTTCTGCTCTACCATGGATCCTTCAAATTGATGGTCAGGCAGATGTGGGTTGCTTGACAGGCTCTTGTTTAGAGGTAGGTTGACTGGGCCAAGGTGGACGCTCGCGGGTAGGTAGGCTGATAGGCATCTCATTTGCCTCCCAGAGTAATTTTTGGTGACCTTTTCTCGTGGTGATTGCGGACTCTTCCATCTGATGACCAGTAATACGTCTGGAAAGGGGTTCTCAGCCTTGTAAAAGAGGCGCCTGTGCCAAGCCAGGCATGTGGCTACTGCGGCCAAGCTCTTGTTTGTGGTCGGTGGGGCTGTAAAAGGGGTTCTTGGACTCTCTCAGCGGAACTGCGCGAAGCGCCGCATACTGCCAATGCCTACTGGTAGAAGCCTCCAGTACCAAGAACACTATGTTACCCTGCTCCCATCTTTTCAATCTTGAAACGTGCTGTCTACGGAGCACAGGATGTCTGTGGCTGCGTAAGGCGTCTCCGGCGAGCTCGGGCTAGCGGAGTGGAGCGGCACCACAAGCAGGGAGAGCAGCACAGAGAGATAGCACTATCATGTGGGTGACTTATGTGACATATCAGGCGTGTTCTCGTCCTGCTGTGAAGCAACTAGAGGCTCAGATGGAGAGCTGGCTTGTGTGAAGGCGTGGAATCTCAAACAAGCAGCATGGAGCTTGTCGACACCCCAGACACGGTTGAGATTTTTTGCCGCTTTTTGCTGGTTTCTTTGCATCACTGGCTTGTGACCATGGAGGACAAGAAGTAATTGAAAAACGAAGAGCTCCGGTCGAACGTGGGCGGAGATATGAGCTCCTTGACTGGGTTGGACTTCAGGGAATTCGGGGCGGATACCGCAATGAGACAGCAGCAGACTGGTCCTCGAAGGCATGTCTGGGGTCTCTAGTGTCCAGTGCCTCATGGGTTGCAACGGGGAAAGAGCCGACGCAAATGTAGCTGACAGTTCGCGCAGCGTAGCCTTGGTGATGGTCTGGGACTAGATCAGGATCGAGAGCTGCCGGGGAGGTAGTGCAGCAGGAGCTTTGAGTGTTTGGGAATCTGGTCCTTGCTACCCGCCTTGAACAAGCCTTCTGGGAGTTGCCGGTATGGTAGTGCTGTGAAAGCGGGGGCTCGAGGCGGAGTGTCGTTTCTGCTGGGGGCAGTCTGTACTCCTGGTAGACTGGAGAAGGATCATGGTCGACGACAAGCATCTGGCTGAGAGGTTGGCAAAAATTGCTCGGCGGTCTGGTGTGGGTAACACGTCCAACGATATTTCTGGTCTGTGTAGTTCAACTCCCCTATTCTCTTGGTTGGCTCGGAGATGGCTGTAGTTGGCGAGAGGCAACGAAACCAACAAGTATGAGGAGCCTGTGGTAACCCAGTATTCCCCGCCTGTCTTGTCGCAGTCTACCGATGTCGTATCCCAGAGTCTATCGATGTCGTGGCTACTCGAAGGGCCAGCGGTGAGCTGTTCGAAGGCAGAGGCTAAGGGGGCGAGTTGAGGACGGATCGTATGGCAGGGCGGTTGCTAACCACAGGTGACTCGACTCGAGAATGGGGAGTCGCTGACGAACGAAACCTGTCTTTCGATGTAGCCTGTTGCATGGCAATCCCATCCCGAAGCCACGAGTAGCCGGCCAAGCAAGACAAGATGCGTGTGAAAGCCAAGGAGTCCTTCTAACGCGAAGGGTCGACGAGTTCCAGTCGACGAAAGCTGGGCAATCTTCATCGCGTGGGTCGTCGACAACGGCAGAGGACGAGCAGTGACATAGGGCGGCCGTTTGAAAATTCAAGCGCTTGGGTTTGCGTCGAGGGGTCGACCGTCAGGTTTCCTCCAGTCATCTGCTCTGAACCCCTGGTCCATCGCTCTGAGCCCCTAGACCAGGAGGTGAATAGTCTTGGGTGACAAGGCACTCCTCCAGCCACTACCTGGACTTCTGGCAAGCAACCGAAGTCTGACAGACTATAGTCCCCAGAAGTATAGAAATGTGGAGGCGTCCAATGTCCTCGGCCCTTGTGGATGTCTCTGGAAACCTTCCCCTTTCAAGACAGCAAAGCTTCTGGCCCCGCCATAAACGACGTCGAGCCGCTGGCGAGCCTGGTTGTCCATCAATGCCGGCCATTTGTTCCCTCCTCCTGTATGAAGCTTCCTCAACCACGGGCTGGCTTTAATAAGCCAAAGGCTCTTCGGGGCAAACTTTTGACACTACCGAGCTCAACAACTGACTAGACTCCCAGGCAGCAAGTCAAGCACTAGAGACTGAACAAGCATCCATGATGCCTATGCTCACGTTTTTTTCCTCCGAATAGTCTCATAGCCACTGGCTGGCGAGTGGGGCTGATACCTGTTGAGTCCTGCTTTGATACCACTGGGCACACGAACCGGCGGGATGAGGTTGACAGAATAGGGGCCGGCTCAGCGGGAGTCTTGGGCAGTGTATCCTTCTCGGGTGTAATCGGGAACGACGGGCTTGGGGGTAGAGCATATATCGTGGGTGCTAGACTTCGGGAACGGGGTTGGGGTATCTCGGTTGATGGCCCTGAATCCGGGCAGTCGGCTTGACGGGAGAGATACGAAACTAAAACAAGACCATAATCAGATGTCCATACCTTGAAGTTGTCTCCTCCTTGGTTGCTATTCGGTATTCGATCGGTTCGGGGCTCGTCGTCGTCCGAAGCGGGGTACAGTCTTGTGTAGAGTCTGGAGATATCAATCAGGTTAGCAGGCAGACCAGGCCAGGCGCCATGATGTAGATATGGCTATGTAGACAAAGCATGTGCTTCCAGGAGTGAAGGGGCTCTGTAACGGGGCATTGAAGAGCCAGAATGTCCATCAAAGCAGCTTACCGGGTTCTTTGAGGGGTGCCGGCACACGTAAAGACTTGGGAAAAGTGGTATGGATCGAGTATCAGACCGTCGCATAGGTCTCTTGCAAGTTGAAGGGAGTTGGCGATGGATCAACTGGCGCGACACGAGGCTGAACCAAGCATGCACCACCAGCAACCGAAGCAACGTTGACCCGTGCGCGCTAGGTAACTTCGGCAAAAACGCGGGTTTGGCGGCGGCAGGGATAAGCTACACAAGGTTTACCAGGCGCTGTGTTACCCGAGACTTGGCGTTGGGCCCTGCCTAAACTTCGGGGAACATCATCACTGTGAAATAAGGTATCTACGGTTACTTGGGGCTCCTCTTGGGCATCGAAGGAAGGCTGTTTGGTGACCCGATGAGGAGTTATGTTTCAATGCCAGGCTGCAAATTATCTGGCTATCTCCATGAACCGGGGGCCAAGTCCCGGTGAGGTCGACGGCGGCGGCGGCAGGACCGCGGGTCCGAGATGGTGGCGGGTCTCCCGGTAAGTACCCCAGAATCTTGATATGTACAACCTCGCAGACGGCACTACTGCTCCTGGTTGAGGACGAAAGTCCTCGTCTCCTGGCATATCTTTTGGCTGAGTTGAGTACTCTTTCTTATCGTTTATGCTGCCTACCATGCGCCTTTGCAATTCTTTGCATTCCTTCTGAGCTTCACTTTCGGTCTCTGGTACCGCCGGGGCACCTTTGGCTCCGCGAAACTGCTGGTGCGAGTCTCTATGCCGGCGGCCCGAGACTGCTGCTGAGGCATCCACTGATATCTGGCCCGAGCATGTCTTGAACTGAGTGGGGCACCTCGAACCAGTCAGTCATTATGGCATGGTCCCCTCGATGGCACTCTAGGTTGAATTATATTGGCACATGGAATCCCTGGGCTGCCTCTGCGGTTATTATTCTTCCAACATTCATCGTACTGCGGCTTTATATCAAGCCGGTGGCTTCGGGACTGCAGATCATCCCATTTCTCTTTCTTTTGTCTGGTGGGTAGTCTCGCCTCTACTGTTTATCTGGCCTGCTGTTTATCTGGTCTGCTGTTTATCTGGTGACTGTGGTTGGGATAACGTGCGCAGGATCCATGTCTTTTCGTCTTCTTTGGACCACTATGCGCAATCCAATAACGTCACGTGGGCTGTATTCTTTACTAGTACCCTTTTGATGGAACAACTTTTGCCTCGCGGAGGTTATGCAAGTACATATGGCTCACAATTTATGTCTGTTTCACTAGCATCAGTCACATTACGAGGTGGAAAAGCTCAAGGCTGCGATAATATACATGTGATCCACTTCATGGAGACCTGAGACAAAGTAGTCTCTTTCACATCTTAGTTCAATGTTTAAGCAAACTCATATTAAAGTTAAACGAGCTTGTTTAGTACCAAATGAGCTCGTTTTATTTTCAGGCAAGCACGTACCACGCATCACCAAAGGACCACAGTTTAACTAACTCTCTACCTCAGTACTGGACAGCCTGGTCTTAATGGACAGGTCCAATTAAGCATGGCCCCCTGAGTCCTTCTTGTGCGAATCAAGGGTCCTTAATTGTCATAGGATAACGAACGGTCTACCGTCCCACACTAACTTGGAGTGAACTGCGATTGTCTATTGTTTCTGGTGTTTGGAGACTTCGTTCTACAGTCCATAACCAGGGAATGTGTGTCCTTCCATCTCTGCTGTTTTATATCCTCCTTCTTGGGTTATTGGTAATTGATCGTTGTGGTATGGGCATGGATGTTGCGAGGAAAGATCGTATTGGAACTAACGGAACTGGGTTTTCTGCAAATTCAGCTGCTATTCTGAGCGCTTGGGTTCGACATCGACTTACCTTTAATTCAATGCTTGATAGGCATGTGTTGCCTACAAGGCTAATTTCGAGTCGTTTAAGATGCAGGCGGTGGTATCAGTGAGGCCATGGAAGGGGTGTTCTGCAGCCTGTGTGTCCAGCGATAGACGGGTTTTCTCAAAGGGGAGAGATCGGAGTTTCTGCCGCTGAGTTCTCGATGATGCAGTTTTATTAGAGGTAGTTGGCGTCACGTCCTTCCAGGGAGAAGGGGTATATGTGGGAGGCTAGTTGGTGGTGAAGAAGATGTCGAAGAAGAAGATGGTCATGGAGGAGGAGCCGGCGAACTGCTTGTCCTTGCCAGGCGAGTTTGGTGAGATTCCCTTGGACTTGGAATCTCTCGTTACGTCAATACCCACGGCTCCGGAGAGCTCAGCTCCAGTTAACAGCCCAGGTTCGGCCAGAGCTCCGGCCAGTTCAGCTCCGGCCAGCTCGGCGCCGGCTCCGCATCATTGCGAACAGTCAGCGCTCCCGTCTTCTTTCCGGATCCGCCCCTGCTGGCGCGGAACTGGATGGGAGCTCGGGCTTCCAATATCTCAGCAATCTCCGGGAAAGCCGCAGAGATGATGTCGAATTGATAGAGGGTCCCGGACAGCCTTATTCGGTTCCTGGCACCGAGACACATGACTGAGCAACCAGCATTCAGTACACGCATCGAAAGAGGCCCTGCCTGCTTCCAGGGCGACGTCAACAGTCATTCGGCCATCAACAAAACCCACAATGCACTCGACGGCAAAAGTCACCACTCCTATCTCACCGCCATCGTTGGCTCATCTTCCATTACTAACATCCCTGGCTCGTCGTATTCTCTCCTGGCCGCCAACCACATTAGGTCGACATAAAGACAGACAAAATTTGGAGGTATGCCTTGCTGTGGAAAATATCTTCGAGCTGGCACTGATATGTACTTCTAAATCCAACAAGAGCCCGAGAAGACGACCGACATCTCCAGACCAAACTTTCAAGCTACCGACCTGACCATTGGATCATACCAGCCTGTTAGCTCAATCGATACGATACCTACGTGGCAGCTGCTGCCAACCTCTGAACAGGGGATGAAAGGGATGGAAAGGGTATCACAACTGCATCTTGTACAGAAAAGGGGTTCCGACCAGACTATACCACTGTAGCTCTGGACTTCACTTTGCCAAAAGGGGTTGTGGCTACATCGAATCTCACAACATCGGGCGCTCTGTGCTCGGAGCAACATCAACTGTGACCAGTAAGGCTACAACTACAACTACAACTATGACCGCCGAGAGCAACTACAACTAGACCCTGCCGAAAACAACTACAATTTGAGACTGCCAGGACCCGCATAAGAGCAACTACAGCTGGCCAAGGACCACAGCTGCAAGTAGAATCTGCGAGAACCACAACTACAACAAGGCCGCCGAGAGGTATCTGCCCATATAATGTTTTGACCAACGTGTGCGGGAAGTACGACTATAACTACAAGCAGGTACAATAGGGGCCCACCAAGGAACGACAACAACAATGAGAGCCTGCCCGGAACCAGCCGACGACTAGGTACAACAAAAGGCACCGAGAGCAACCCAGAGCCAGGAACTACAACCCCAAGATATATCATAACAAGTATGAGCCTGCCAGGAATACAACTACAATCGCACGATTTAAGCCAAATAGGTACTCTTCCGAGCGGCAGGACATGCTAATTGCAGAGCAGACGTATACGCACAACATGCCGTACGCATTTTCATGAAAACACAAGCACAGCTTCTTCCGCCCGCTCCGTTCAACAACTTTGAATCACATTGGAATCGACTCGAATAGGGGCCTAAACGACATCAACATCAACAGCAACTCTGCAGTCCCATTTGCATCACCGCAACAACCGGCCCCGGAGACCAAACCCATCTTCACTTCAATACATTCCTACATCCCAACTAACAATCTCAATTCCCACAGCTCCCCTCCCGTTACATCGCGCTGATTCCTACAAAGTTCAGTTTTTACATTTAATCAACTCTGAGGCTTTTTCCGGGTTTCCCTTGCCAGCCCTGCCGACTCAGATCCTCTCGACACCTCAGCACCGTGTTACGTTTCCCCTCAGGAACACAATCATCCTATCCCCACCATTCTCTACAATCTCTACCTTTACTCCCCAGCATGGGATGAACACCTCCACCTATGTCCCACCACCTTCGCCATCATACCATCCCCCCTCCCAAACACCGGGTTTGTATTCCCAATCCAGGTACTGAGAACCCACTACCCTAACACAAACCTCTCGTTGGTTCCCAAAAGGTAGTCGTACAAACTTTCCCCTCTCCCCGCTAGGATTTTATTCTCCGTAGTCGTCAATCGGAGCCGGAGCACAACAAAAACAGAGTGGTGAGATGATGAGGTGGCTTGCACATAGAAGGCCACACACACACTCACAGAAAGAAACTTCTGTGACAATTTCTGTAAGGCTGTCGTCTGTTATCATCCGTCAGATTTGACATGTAGGGACAGAAACAGGGATAGTGGGATATCAGATGGATGGGGGAAGAGATAGGATGGGATGGAAGGGAGGGACCCGCTATGGTGCAGAGCACTGCCTCCCCTCCCCCAGGTCGGCTGGCCGGAACCCCTTCGGATAGGGGTGTGTGTGCTGCAATGTTGGTAAGAGGATGACGGGCTTTGGACGGATGCTGTGCTGATTCTGCGGTTCGCCCCAATGCCCGTTGTCGGCGACCGCAGCCGGTTTACGGGCGGGGCAGAGGATCGGGGATGGATGTTTAACCTTGGTTATGTGGCTTTTTACTGCGTTGACTACTGGTGGGTGGCCGTTTAAAGACGAGGCTCAACAGGCACAGTAGCCCTAATCAAGTTGACCTGTGCAAGAAAGAAAAGACTGGGCGTTGCTGCAGAGTAGGGGAAGTGTAGATCGATTCGGCGGTCTGAAGAGTTCAGGGTCCTGGAGAGGGTGGTATCGGAAGGGAGGTGATTGGTGGCGATGGTGGTCAGCGAAGCAACGGAATACCGTCCGGAGATCAGATCATGGTGGGTATCACAGATACACCAACCCAGACTCTCGGGCTTCAATATTTGGTTGTTGTTGTTGTTGTTGCTGTTGTTGTTGCTGAAGAGAGCTAGCTGCAGCTTACCGTGACATTGGTGATGATGGGCGGCGAGTGTGTTCTGTTCTGTGTGAAAAGAAGGTTACGTGCGACATTTAATTTAGAAGCTTCCCGTCGTCGCCGTCAAAG